AGGCTCGCTCGCACAACGTCCACGTCACCGAGGGCGTCGTCGCGGAGCGCATAAAAGGCGCGGCCAAAGAGGACCGAGACGCCGCCGCCGAGGACGAGCCCGACGCTTGCACTCATACAAATTGAAATGTGGCGACGAAGACGGCCTTTCTCGAATGCGCCAATCAGCCGCGAGCAAAAATATCGAAGCAACCAATGGGAATGCAGCGGCACGACCAACGTTCTCGACCGGCCGTTGGGGTCGCAACCTGGCACCACCAACAACTCGTCGGCATGATCATGAAGGAAGACGCGTCGTTGATTGTTGATGGGACATGCACGATCCTCTGTTTGTGCTGGTCGAGTTTTGCTGCACCGGACTCGATACCCAATGGAATAAGAAATATGTTTAAAACATGTATTTTTCTTTGGGATCCCACGGTTCGTCAACACTCGCGCCATGCATTTTCAAATTTCAACATCCCAACGACATGCGACCGAGCGCACTGGTCACGACCCTTCCGCTTCTCTACTTGGGCGGCCATTGTGTCTACTTGGGCCACGTGGCCTATGCCAAACGCGCGCAGCTTGTCCGCCTAAGCGACGCGCTGCAGACCGTTGCTTCGATCGAGGCATTGCCGCTCCAGCCCGAGACACCGGGCCGAGTGGCGTACGACGTGCAGTTCTCGGGCCGTGTCGCCAAGCGCAGCGAGAGTGATGCCAGCCGAGCCGACGAGCTGGTCATCGTCACAGCAAGTGGTCATCGCATCCTCGTGACGGACCCGGACCTCCTCCGTTGCAACTGCGACCAGGCTAAGACGACGAACGAGGAGAGTACGGCCCCCATTCCTGGGCACCAGACGGTCGAAGCCGCGATTGCTCAGAGCGCTTTGGTGTCGTGCGTGTGGCTGCTCGAGTCCGTGCCCCTGTGTGACGCAGCGGGTGAGAAGACGCTTGGATGGGCGATGGTAGCGTCGAACGACCCGGCGCTAGTGCCCCCTCGGCACTTTCTCCACTATGGGGACCTCGCGACGCTGCGTCATAGGTGGCTTCAAAATGGCGACACGCTGCAAACGGTTGGGGCGGCACTGGTGCTGTACGGTCTTGTGTTTGTCGGCTGTAGTCTCTGCCACTTTTCGAGCCGTCGATAAGACGCATCGTCGCGAAGGAATACGATACATTTATTTGGCGTGGCGTTCGTAGTCCAAATAACTTTCGTAGTCGGTCAAGACACTACGTTAGCCAAAAAACGACATTAACACCACCACGTTTCGTAAGTAGTCCATCGTACCGCACAAATGTGTGGCCGTACAGACTCGACAGAATGTCGTCGAGAGTGATGTGCAGCGGGTGCTTGGGTTGGAGCATGTCAAAGAGCTCGCTCTGCCGATTGACATGTCAGACTATACCATTTGGAAATGCAACCAAATGCAACTCATACCCGAAGCACACGCGTGTCGAGGGCCGACCCCATAGCAGCCATCACCTTGGTTGCAATGCCTTGCAGAAAAAATTCGACGACAGCACCGTCAAGGTAGCCAACGTCGTGGAGGTCAAGGACGCGCCAGTACATCTACGAGCACCCCGTCTCATGACAGATCCAGATATATGGTCTACCTGCAGCGCGCCTTTGGACACACCGTCTTGGATGCGCAAATTGAGATCCAAAAACGATTTATAATCCTGTAAAAACACTGTTTGGACACATTCCAGTGTTTGCAGCGGACGCACCAGCTCGCCGTCGTACGTGCGGACGACCTCAAAGACGCGGTCGACAAACTGACGCGTGAGCTCGTGTGTCGGGCGAGACGAGTCGTTGGGCACAAACGCCTTTTTTCTTCCTATTTCATTCATGTTCAAATTTCGTGATATAAGATCTCATTTGTACCATAATTGAGGAATTCTGTTTTTGAGAGCAGCCCGTTCTTGTCCGTGTCCAGCTGCATGTACTGGCGGTGGAGCTTTGTCGCTGCCTCGAGCGTCAGCGGGTTGGCCCCATATTCGTTCGAGCTGTGATACTCGACCGTCTGCAAGTTGACCAGTGCGTGGCAGTAGGGATGAGCCCGCGCCCGCTCAATCACAACTTTTCCTACAAGTCCGTGAGGCCATCGCCACAAGACAATATGACAATCTAAAGAATATATACGATACGCAAATGTACCTGTGAGGTGCGGCACCAACGCGAGCCAGAGCATGCGCGCGACAATGAGCACGAAATACGACCGAAAAGTCTCCTATTTGCCCGTAAAATCGTGAGAATATGCCAGTCACGACATTTGCATGCCTCGAGAGGCGTGCGCCAGGGCACGCTTGCTGCCCAGTCTGTGACTAGATCGACAATATTGTTTTCCAACAAGACCCCTTTGCCCGACGTGTCGTAGGCACTACGTCCAACCTTTGGTTGATACATTGAAACATGCAAAGTCACAGTACGAGAGAAGGGCGTGGGCACGGAGCGCCAGCGAGCTCGCGCGCACCACGTTCACCCACGCGAGACCATTGAGTCGCCCGAAGGCGTCGTGTGGAAACTGCAGAAAGACGCTCGCGGTGGCATACGCTTCGATCCCCGGCTGCCGCAACGCCATCGCAACCGACCGGAACTGGTCATAGTTGAGCCGCGGGATCGCGAGCCACTGCTTCATGAGCTGGACTTCTTCAAACGACGGCGGCGGTACGAAGCGCTCGTCCTGCTCCATGCGATCTTCCATGGCCTCTAGGAACAGCCCAAATGTGCATGCCGCAATGCATTCGTCTTGCACCTTCTTGGTCTTGCGTCCATTGATTGAGCTTGGCCTCGACCGGCATGTGCGAGGCCGTCTCGTGGACGAGGTACGTGAGTTGCTCGAGCTGCGGCCAGCTCAGGCTCTGGCTGAGCAGATGGGCCTTGTAGGAATCAAACACATTCGCGTAGCCAGAGCGGGGCGTCTAGCAGCTGTGGGTGAGTGCTGTAATTATCGAGCCAAGATGGTCACCGCCAAGAGAAGCGGCGTCGTCGCCATGCAAGAAGTAGCTAAAGATATCGAGCACGGAATATCTGTTGGCGTCCGCAGCCAGCTTCAAAACTCGGTTTCATAATCGCTGGTTCGAACGAGTAGCTATCAATCTCCGACAGTCGTTCTATATTTTACGATCTTCGAAGCTCGTGAGTAGCCAACCGTGGCGTGCGCAAGGTATGATTGCCCTGCGTGCCCCTTGCCGCAGGTGCGCGACCGTTGGACGACGGCCGGTCTTGCCACGAGCTCTCGACTTCGATGCGCACATCCTGTTAGCGACGCATCCTTTGATTTCCGCATCTCGATAATGGTTACGAAGGCCTGTCTGTTGCCAAGGTTGATGGTTGCCAAAGTCGCAGGTTGAGTCGCTGCGAGATGCCAGCGCCAGCATGGTTGCTGTGGGCCTGGCCGGCGACGCATCCATTTGAGTTTTGATGGGTACCCCCCGGCCCATGCGATCACTTTTACCTTGTTTGAACCATGCAAACAAAGGGACCGGGCCATCATAAATGAGGGGGTGAGCCCTTTTTTCGAGGCACATGGCGCGGCGTCACACCACTTGCTTGTGCTGGCAGTGAATTGATCTCGGGATTTGTATGGTCGACCCAACTTGAAGTTGGCGCAGCACCGCTTCAACCTTTGACTCGGAGCCAATGGCAGACGCGCCGCATCTCTCGACTGGCCTCAGCCGAGCGTTGGTCACATCGAGACGTGAAGCGCTCACACGGCAGATTTCGTTTGCGAATCAACAGCAGCATGAGCCACAGCGGGCACGGCGAGTGGGGCCACTTTGTCGCTCTCACGCCGACGCGCGACAGCTACCTCGAGGCGCGCGGTGACCTCAAGGAGCGGCTTCTCACGCGGTCTCCGCTGCCATCGCCGGTATTGCGCCCGCTCCGCCTCTCGCGCAAGACGGGCTGTCTCTACAACCTCAGCGCGCTCGACGACCAAGCTGGGCTGCCAGCCTCCAAGCCCACAGCCAAGATGACGCTCCACGCGGCCATCTACCCGAGCATGCTGTGCCCGCGCAGCGAACCTCGGGTACGACGCCCAACGCGATGGCAACTGCAACCTGGCACTCATTTCGATTAGGAGGTGCAACGCGTCCCATCGATGGCCAGACAAGGTCCGCCAATGGCCGCCAAGACGGGCATCCTCGTGCTACCCGCCACATCCTGGTGGGCATCAACGACGGAGGTGCGCGTCGTTCTGGAAGGCGGCCGCGTCGCGTGGGTACCTGTGACACCCCGCTTCGAACCCATCGCAGCCGCGCGCACACAGAGCTTGGTGCTCACGCCGCGCACGGTCGTCTGTCGCATGCGAGATGCAAGCCTCCAGCTGACGTCGGAACATGGCGCGACCGTCCTCTTCCGCTGCCCAAGCCCAGCAGCCTGCAAGGCGTGGGTCGCTGCACTGACGCGTGCGATTGTGAACGCGTCGCGGATACCGCACGACCCGATCGCGTCGGCGCCCATTCGCATCCTCCCGAGCATGCGCAGCCGGTAGTCGTAGCGGCTCTAACTTATGTATTACATGGTCGTGTCGGCGTTGCAACTGGTCTCATCGACCCCATTAGCAGCCGCAGCAACCTTCAAGAATGGAGAGAGCGACGTAGCGTGGGTGGAAGAACTGGAAGAAGGGCGACCGGCTGCGAACAGAGCACGCCTCTCCTCAGAAACACCCAGAGGTGGCTCACAGCATTCATTGACACGTTCCGGCCCTCGCTGGGATGGATGGCAGGCGCATGTCGCGTCCGGCCGCGGCTGCCGACCGTACACTCGTCCAGACGTTGACGCTCTCGGCAGTTCTTGAACCCGGTGCAAGGAGCCTTCTTTTAGGATCGTTGGTGCCAGTACCTGGCTTAGGTCGCGCCACATCGCAATCTAGAATCTGAAATTTGGAACTTGAATCGGGACCAGATGCTAAAGGGATGTGGCCAGCCACATCTCTAGTGTAAACGTCCGAGGCGAGAGAATGGCAAACGCTATAGGTCTGTAGTCCTCGTGCGCGAGAGCTTGGTCATCACAGTGTAGTGCATCGCCTGTTCACCTTGCCTGTCGCGACTCAGCTTTCGGGTCCGCCTTCATGGCACCATCACTCTTGCGCAATTACGTGGCAGCACGAGAGCGCATTTAGAAAAGAAACTTGGTGAGCGACGGTCCTTCCTTGGCATTGGGGGGCTGGCACAACTAGCACAACTATAGTACGATATAGCTAGTAGGTGTACCATCACACGTAGTGCCGCCGAATGGGCTGCGGGAGTCGTAGCCAACACGTCGCTCGAGCAGGCTGTCGCTGCAGTAGCACAACACGCACACACTGCACCCCACTCGCGGTTGCTGACGACCTTTATCACTGCTGCATTTGACAGAGCGCCTAGTGTCTTTTCCGATGCTTTCTCCAGCGTCGAAACCAGCCTTTGATGACAAGACGACCATCCACACCAAACCTTCACATCGCAACCGTCGCTACTTGTTCGGCGAGCTTCGTCAAGCGCCATGCTGCCGCCTCGCATGGCACTGCGCGGCTCCGGCACTTTGCTTTGTCAGCACTAGTAAACTTATTCTCGGTAAACAACCAGACAACCTGCCTTCCTGGCTGCGTCGTTGCACGCAGAAGGCTATAGCGTTCCCAAACGATTGCGCAATCGCTCCAACTTCAACTAGACCACTTTATTGCCGACTAGAAGTCGACCGGTCGGATACCAGGCGCTGCATCGAGGGACAGCAATGGAATTTGACGCAACTCTCCTAATAGAAGCATCTGTGCTTGCGCAAGGTCGAATTCTGACCCGCTTGCGCTGCTGTCGTCTGCGGATGGAGCAGAAGTGGTTCGGCAATCAACTGATTGATCCGGATAATTTGGTGGAAGATACCGGCAGTTGCCAGAACCGCTTTTGCCTTTGCAGCCCCACGTAGCAGTCACCATGGTCACCTCGGGTCCCGTCCGCGTGCTCACGGAGCGCATCATGAGCCGCGGCTTCGAGCCGACCGTCCACCGCATGATGGAGCGGGTACGCGCTCGGCGATGGCAGCGAGGCCTCATGCGAACGCATAGGTCAAGGCGACGGTGCGTCGGCAGCCGGGCCTCATCTCGGTCGAGACCATGAGCGACATGGACGACCACCACAAGTACATCGTCATGTCTGAGGTACGCTGCGATGACATCTTGGCTGTGCACTGAGGCCACGGCTGTAGTGGCGGAGCCGTCGTGACTACGAGGCGTGGGAGAAGAGCGAGGACTTTAAGCAGTGCACGGCCAAGATCCACGAGCTCCTCGACATGCCGGGCAAGAAGACGCGCGTCTTTGAGCGCCCGAAAGACGATGTCTTTCTCTTGTAATCGGTCTATGTTAACATGCATCCAGTATACGATACTACTGCAGCTCACGCCGTCTCGTCCTGCTTGGCTTCCTTGGGCTTGAGGAACGCCTTGATGCGATCGACGGTCTTCTGCACCGTCTCGGCAAATGAGTGCGTCTTGCACGACGACTCGCCGGCCTCGCCACGCAGCTGCTCTTCCTTGGCGAACTCTTCCATGAGCTCCTTCTGACGCGCCGACAACGTGTCCGGGATGTGCACGTTCATCGTCACGAGCTGCGACCCGCGGCGCGACGAGTTGAGCTCCTTGATGCCCTTGCCGCGCATCTTGAGCGTCGTGCCCGACTGTGTCCCCTTGGGAATCTGCGCCATGTCCATACATAAGAGGTCTCGACCGGCGATGGCCTACCGTCATTTCGACCTGGCCCGTCAGCGTCGGCACGACGATCGAGCTGCCAAGAATGGCCTGCGCAACCGAGATGGGGACTTCGCAGTGCACGTCTGTCTTGCTGCGCTTGAAGAACGGGTCGCCTGCGACCGAGATCGACACGTAGAGATGCCCCGACGGCCCGCCTACGCGCGCGTGTGAGGTTCACAGCGTCATATAATCGACGCACCCTTGCTGCCGGCTTCGCCCTGGTGCGCGAGGCGGAGGTTCATGCCATTGTCGACGCCTTCCGGGATCTTGACTTCGACCGTGCGCGCCTTCTTGACCTTGCCACGGCCGCGGCAGCTCGTGCACGGCGTCTCAATGATAAAGCCTACTCGGTATATAAGACACTGTGTCCACGCATCGAGTGGTGCTTACCTTCGCCCCGGCACCGACGGCAGGGCTGCTCGACGGCAAAGAAGCCTTGCTGGAGGATCTCGACACCGGAGCCGCCGCAGCTCTTGCACTTGCGCTTGCTCGTGCCGGGCTTGGCGCCGCTGCCGTCGCACGGGTCGCAGGTCACGTCCGTGTTGAGGTTCAGGTCGCGCGTCGTGCCATTGACCGCCTCCATGAACGAGACGTGGACGTTGACTTGGACGTCCGCGCCACGCTGCGGCTGCGGACGACCGCTGCGGCGACCGCCAGCCTGGTGGCCAAACATGGACGCAAAGATGTCTTCAAAGCCGCCGCCGTGGAAGCCGTCGCCGCCACCGGCGTTCGGGTCGACGCCCGCATGGCCAAACGTATCGTACTTTTGGCGCTTGTCGTCGTCGCCCAGCACCTCCCAGGCCTCGGTGGCCTCGGCGAACTTTTTGGCCGCGTTCGGGTCGTCCTTGTTCGTGTCCGGGTGGAACTTCTTGGCGAGCTCGTAGTACTTTTTCTTGATGTCGTTCTTGGACGCGCCGGCGCCGACGCCGAGGACCTCGTAAAAGTCGCGCTTCGCCAGCGGCGTCGAGCTGTGAAAGTGCATCGACGGCAGCAGGTGCATCGGCGGCAGTCCGTGCTTCAGGCCCAGCAGGCGCGGGGCGGCGCGACGCGCAGCGGCAGGCAGCATCATCTCCTCCTCGTCCTTGGCTTCACACGAATCAAATGATGACCACGGATTGGGTGGAACCGTGGTCGCACTTTACTGAGCAATAGGTGGGGTACCTCAAACTTAATTTGGGGTACCACCAAATCTATCCAACAAATGCAAGGACCCTGCACATTAATCACAGCGCAGCGAGGTGTGCGTCCTTAGAATTGGAGCGGCGCTATGAGTTCCATGCCACGTCTATTGAGACTAGTGCAGCTAATACGCTCGTGGGTCAAGCACGTCATAGTCGCGAGAGGGGTCCCCGGACGGGGGCCCGAAACTGCAGCCTGAATCTTCTAGAATTGCCAGATCTTCGACAGCCATCGTTAGCCGGCGGGACAACGGTATTTTCGCATCAAATTTACGGCAACTAAAACGCGAGCTTAGCGCCAAGGCTGCGAAGATGACCCAGTGCAATGCTGTACATGGTAGCAAGGAACTTGTCCCAGGTGCGAAGAAGTGCGTCTCTCACCGTTCGAGACGTCCAACCCGGTACTAGTACATCCGATGGACCTCACAGTAGAAAGTCCCATTTGCCCACGATCGCAGCTCAGCGCAGTCGCTCCTTGCTACTGTCATTGCATTAGCATTGCTACTCTGATGGCATGCGCAGAAGGTTAAACATCCCATACTGGATCCTGTTGCACAAGCTTCTTCCACGCCGCACCACCAACCACGGCGGCTCGTCGATCTATGGCAGCGATAGTATCGCTCCTCCTTTGTTGCTTGCCGTACAGAAGAGACTTTGTACATGTTTCCACCTGTGCTGGCCATCGATCTCTCCGGTTGTATGCGGTGCATCCGGATACGTGCGGCCATACGTGGCAGCCGGAGCTGCGAGAACGCGCTTTTCGTAGGTTTCCCGCGCGCTTTCCAAAACGCTTGCAAGTGAACCAGCAAGATGACATTGCGTTTAACCCAGTGCATCAGAGCGATGCAGAGCGGTCTCGATCTGGTCGTCGTCTTCCGCACAAATTTAAATAAATAACTAAGCTCTTAGAAAGCAAAATCTTGTGCGTTAGGTCCATATTAGTACTTCGTACGTAGCTCCAGCAGCACTCGCGCAACAACATAACAACCTAGCTAACTAGTGGCCAACTAGTTGTTGCCAACTAGAGGCGTGTAGCAAGTCCCTTATGGCTAACGTAGCAGTCGAGGGGCGGTTCCTCGCGTAGCAGCCTGCAGCTGGCAGTGAGAGTCGCTGGACACCAAGACGTGGTTCGCCTCGAATGGATATGGTGGGTCGGTCGCCCCCGAAGCAAGCACAACGGGCGTCTGTCGCTCGAGTCGACGACTTCTCGCATCCACATCTCGTGGCGCGGTGGGTGTCATCCGGATCATATCCGGTCGTAAAGCCGGGTCCGTTTCGGCCCCAGTTTGTATTGGGCGGCAGCAAGCAGGAGGCAGCAGCAGCATGAGCACGGACGAGGACGCGCCCTGCCGCGTCTGCGGCAAGACCGACGACGAAGAGTTCCTCGTGCTCTGCGATGGCTGCGACGCGCCCTTCCACACCTTTTGCCATCATGGCTGCGTCTGCTGCCAGGAAAAGCCGCGCAACAACTTCAACAAGAAATTCGCTGTCCCTGACGGCGACTGGTTCTGCAAGTTCTGCGCCGGCCACATCCCTGCGCCGAAGGGCAAGCCGCTCTCACGCATCTTTGCATGGGGCGACAACGAAGACGGCCAGCTCGGCCTCGGCGACCGCGACTTGCTCCTGCAGGCGACGCCGACGCTGGTCACGAGCCTCGCCGGCATCTCGGTGCGCGACGTGGCCTGCGGCGAGAACTTTACGGTCGTGCTCGCAAACGAAGGCGACGCGTACTCGGTGGGCACGGGCGTCAGCGGCCAGCTCGGCCACAACGATGTGGTCCACGAAAAGCTCGTCGACTTTCGCAAGGTACACGCAGGCTACGATCCTCCATCGCTCTTATGCATCATTAGATTGAAGTGCTCGAAGACGAGAAGCGTCCCGCCGTCGAGGGCCGGTGAGATACTGCCAAACGCACGACGACCACTCATTTTGGTCTAGCCTCGAGATGGTCCAGTGCGGCAAGGACTTTGCCCTCGTCGTCACCAAGCACGGCCACGTGTACTCGTGGGGCAATGGCGAGCTCGGGCAGCTCGGCCACCAAGAAAACAAGAACAAGAAGCTCCCCAAGAAGATCTCGGCGCTCCGCGAGAAGGAGATCCCGGCCGTCTTGGGTGCGCTTCGTTGATCTCTCATTGCCTCGTCTAACAAGCTGGTAGCGCGCTGCGGTACGGACTTTGTCGTCATGACGTCAGGCGTCGCGAAAGAAGACGACTACTTTCATCGGGAGCTGCCCGGTGTCTTCATGTCGATGGGCGGCAACGCCAACGGCCAGCTCGCCGACGGCTCGGGCAAGAACCAGTGGGTGCCGCAGTACCTCAACCCCAAGGGGCCCGCAACGACCGAGGTACTTGGCTTCATGCTGCAATGTCTTATGCAGGCGCGCGGTTGTAGAAGCAACCGTGGACGCCCGAGATCCCGACGACCTTCAACTTGGGCCGCGACATTGCGCAGCTCTCGCTCGGCAATGCCCACGGCGCTGTCGTCCTGAAACAGTACGTTCGCGGCTAATTGAGCCCACGACCAGCGACGCGATGTAGCACACCGGGTCTTTGGACGTGGGGCTTTGGCGAGTACGGGCAGCTGGGCCACGCCAAGCCTCCGCCGCCGCAGGGCCAGTCGCGCTTCTTCCGCCAGCAGTTCCGCGTGCCCCGCCCGTTTGGCGTCGAGGTACCTGTGCGACCTCGCTTCAACCGATGTCATATCGACTGGCGCAGGCGCTGCTGACGACGTCGATCGCGCTCGTGGCGTGCGGCGGCAACCACACGCTCCTCGTGACGAGCGACCAGCGCGTCCTGGGCATGGGCAACAACGAATACGGCCAGCTCGGTACCGACGACATAGATGACAACAGCGAGAACGAGAAGCTGCGTATTCTGTCGCTGCCGACCGAGATCCCGGCGCTCGCGGGCCAGGCGTGGACGAGCGTTGTCTGCGGTACACCCTCGTCGACTATCAATGTATCAACTTGACCGCGGAACGTTAGGCGAGAACCACTCGATGGCGCTCAACGCGGCCGGCGACGTTTTTACGTGGGGCAAGAACGACCGCGGCCAGCTCGGGCGCGGCAAGACGTCCGAGAAGGACGCAACACCCGCCAAGGTGCCCAAGCTCCCGACGATCAAGAAGCTCTTTGGTGGCTGGAACCATGCATTTGCGCTCGAATTTGCGGCTTCAATTCCCGAAAAGCCCGAGCGGGTGACGCCCACCGCGCGCGGCCGCGGTGCCAAAGCCAAGGGCGGCGCTGGGTCCAAGGCCCCCGCCACCAAACGGGCCAAGAAGTAGACGAGGACTATATACACTCTTGTTAACTTGCTTTTGGTCGTCTCGCATTCTTCTGCTCAAAGCGTGCATGTTGGATGACTCGTGAGCATGCGTTGGTCGTTGATAGAAGACGAAGAAGAAGCCTGCGTCGCTCGACGCGTTGTCAGTAGAGTGGGATCGCCCAGCGTCGCCTCGGACGCTGCGTGCCCTTGTGTCCTTACGTTGAGGTTCAAGCGCCTGGGATAGAAAGACGCCATGTCCATGCGCTCGAATCTGGTATGCGAGACAGACGCGCGTTGAGTTTCAAATTTGTGCGCGCGTTGAGACTCGCAGTAATATTGGTTTGGACCATAGACAAGTTGTGCAAAATGCGGTGCCATGGACATGACACGATCTGGCGACCGGAACGACCGATCTTCAAGCATTAGTTGCAATCTCGTCGGTTGACTAGTCGCCATCTGGGGGAAGAACCAGACGTCACGTGACTACAAAATAAAGAAGCTTGGCAACTTCAAGCACGAATCGAACGACTCGCGTCGAGGTAGTTGCGAGCGCCATGGCGTACGACCGTCTCTGCTTGCTACGTTTGCATCGACTTCTGAACAGGTATCTGAACATGGAAGATCGACTGAAAATGTGAAATCTGAAATCGAGAGATCTGAAAATCTGAAAATGTGCTGTGGTGCGTGTCGCGGTGCGCCAAAATTCAGCGCCCTTTTCCACCAATCGGAGACGCGTGTCGCGGCATAGCGGCATGTGATTGGTTGAAAAGTTTCACCGCCGTGGCCTGGTTTGAGGCCAATTCGGATGTTGAAGTGTCTTTGCAGCAACCATAAGAACGCTCGATGTCGCGCAACCAGCGTTGTCATACAGTGTATTTGACTAGCATCGAGTACACTGTGTCGCCTTGTCGCAGGGTTCCCGTAGAAGCAGCGCTGTGGATCGCGCTCAAAGCCTCCTCGTTGTGTAATTACCTCGTATACTACATGGTACACGAGTAGAGGCTGGCAAATCAGCCCGTACATGTCGTCGTTGCCGAGCGTTCATGCCCTCCAGTGTATACGCCTTCAGCCTCTACTTTGTATTTTGTAATGTTATGGCAAGCTCCGTTCCGCCTTCTTCTGACCGCGCGCAGAGACAATCGCTCTTGATCTTTGTACTATTTTGCGCGCGCGACGAGGGGTCGAGGTATCTAGCTACAGCCGCCTACAGCACCTGCACGCGCCGCCGGGTGGTCTCGAGTCTTCTTGAACTTGCAAATCAAATCGTGGGTATACCTACGTAGAGCCAAAGAATCGAGCACTTATCCTCCCATACTGAACCGTTTGAGAGGTTGAATGGGACTGCACTCGGTGGTCCTTGTCGATGCTAGTAGCAAGCAGAAGACAGTGTATACGAGATATTGTATATCAGCAGAAAAAGCGCGCGGGTTCGCTCGGTTTTCTAATATTTGCAAAGGTTGCACACGGCGGCGCGTCCTAATTAGGACAGCGATTAGGGCTGCGCGGGGATTGGCTATAATTTTCGGTTGACGGACCTGCCCGTCGCTTCATTTCGGAATTTTCGAAACCTCGACCACGAGTGCCACCGTGACGTTCCACGCCCGCTCCATCTTCATGGGCTGCACGCCTTCCAGCACCTCGACGACCTCTATTGACTCGGCCACCATGTCCAGCTCGGCGCATCCCGACGTGTATGAGCCGACGCGGCCACGGCGCGCGTCGCGCTCGCCCTTGAGCTGCAATCCGAACCACCTGCCCGTGTCGGACGACCCGGACCTCCAGCAGTTTTACAACGCGCTGCGCGTGCGCGACCACACGCCGCATGTCTCTGTGATCCCGACGTCCCATGCCAGCGTGAAGCGCCCGATGTCGCATGTGCCCAAGAAGCACCGCGACGTCATGAGCATCTTTGGCGAACAAGGCATGGTGCTCGACGCCGCCACGCCCAGCAACAGTTTGCACTCGACGCCGACAAGCAGCTCATCGGCGCTACACTCGCCGTCGCTCATGCACGGTGACATGCTCGACTCGTCCCGCGACACGATTGAAGCACGCTTGAACCTTGTCTATGGCGCCGCGTCCCTCAAGGGCCAGCGCGCGGTCAACGAAGACCGCCACATCGCCGCGACCGAGACAATCAACGACAGACCCGTCGGGTTCTTTGGTGTCTTTGACGGCCATGGCGGGACCAAGGTCTCCGAGTACTTGGCCGAGAACCTCTACAAGACGTTCTTTACCCACTTGACGCAGCGGCCACAGTCGACGCTCGCATCACAGCTCGAAGAAGCCATGCTCTTCACGGACAATGCCATCTACGAAGCCAACGTCGAGCACGGCTCGACTGCCATCTGCCTTGCAGTCAAAGACGACGTGCTTGCTGTCGCGTCGCTTGGCGACTCGCAGGCCATTCTGTGCACGAACGACGGCCACGCGCTCGACCTCTGCCTCTCGCACCGACCGACCGAAGCGTCCGAGATTGCACGCATCGTAGCAGCCAAGGGCACGGTCGTCAACGGACGCATCTTTGGCGTCCTCGGCGTCTCGCGCGCGTTTGGTGACAACGACTTCAAGACGTCCCGCGGGACGTTCGCGGCCAAGTTCAACGGCGACCTTGTCGGCGGCGTGCCCCACGTCATTCAGCGTCATCTCTCGCCAGCCGACGAGTTTATCGTGCTCGGCTGTGACGGCCTCTTTGACGTCATGACGCCGGACGAGCTCGTCGCGTACGTCCGCCCGCGTCTCTCGCTGCAAGGCGTCCAAAAGACGTGCGAAGATTTGCTCCAGCACGCGCTTCGCCTCGGCTCGACCGACAACGTGTCGGCCATTATTGTCAAATTGCACCACGTGGCCTAGTCTGTAGCGTTGCCGTTGGTTATGTAATATTATTTATCACTCGTTTCACAAACAAGCTTCGTTAGAGGACGAGCTTGTCGGTCGAGTCGCGCCTCGACCGCGAGCAGTGGCAAAGCGTCGTGGGTTGCAGCATCGGCGGCGATGAGTAATGGGTGGGTTGCATGGGACAACCACGAAATGTACAGTGCACCGCGTGATTAGGACTTGTCCTAATTCAACAACTCCATATCGAGCAATCGACCTGCACAGTACTAGTATGTGAGCATGTGATCAGCAGGCCGCCGCAACTGCGAGCTGAGTGTACTCACAGCACCAGCCTCTACGTCTCTTCCGGTACGAGCGCGTCGTCCTTGTCATGCAGCTGAAGGGCGGCGTGATGTCGCATCGCATCCGACTGCTCAAGCCGCTTTTGTTCCAACAGCAGCATCTTTTACTATTTAGAGTACGCTGGGAGTACTACCGCTGGGAAGGGATGCGCCCGATTGTGGTAGTAAGATGCTGTCTGGTACAACGATGTGGGCGAGATGTGGGCGAGATGTGGCGACGATCATCGAGGTCCGCCTTGATGTGGCTGGATCGATTTTTCCCACCTGATGCGTAGAATTGTAGAATTGTTGAACCGACCAGATTGTCAGGTGGGAGTTGGAATCTGAGTTGGAAGGACTGCGCTGTCCACCAACGAGGTGGCTTTGTCCTCCGTGATGCAATGCCGTCGACGGACTCCATATGGTTCTAGCCTCGGAATCTACATGTGCCAGGCTGGAGAAGAAAATGGACGGCTGGGACGCTCCTACATGTCGGACAGTACAGTGTACTCGACGCTCGCGATCTCTCGGACGATTACCGTAGTAGTTCGACACGAAATCTCAGCTTCAAGGTTTCAGGGTCGACCCTTCTTCGTTGATTCCTTCCAGCCAACTACAATGTACTAGCGCCAAGAATAATGAAGGTATGCATCGCGTCTCGAGAATCGCTTCGTTTTCTAGTGATCGTCGCTCGTTGCTGTGTTGGACCGAGGCATTCGTACCTTGATGACGCAGACCCCGAGCGATGCCAGCAGCGCGCCACGTCATTGGATTACGTGGCGTCGCGAGAGACAGCTCGAACTTCGTACGATACTTCAAGCTGTCCTGCACCGTCTTGTGCATCAAAACGTTTGAGGGTGCACACATAGCATTTGTAAATGCAATGTACCGTGGTGGCATCGAGGGTCCTTGTGACCTTCGAGGTGTGTGGCATCCGCGGTTCGACCGTCGCTCGCCAAAGCCTTTTGCACGGGCCGCGGCACGGGGTGTCTCATAGCGTACAAGGTGCGTTCGGCAAGCATCCGCCTCGATCTTGTTGAGTAGCTCGGTGCACCTAGCTCTTTGACTCGCTGCACGCCGTCACTCGATGCCCCCCAGAGCTTTGCGAGTTTCACACCATTTCAAAAGTCCGACCTTGCCCCACACAGAATTTACTGTGGGCACCAAGCGCCAAGCGCTTTGCAAATAATCCATCTACCGTCTCGAAGGCTGCCGGTATCCACGATACCGTTGCATATAACGTACTTGTCGACCTCTCGGAAAAGTCGAGCAGCGCCCATGTTCGGCACCACGCAAATCGATCTCTTTCTTACACTATTGTTTGCATATTCTCCATATACTATTTCAGAAAAGCGTTTCGGATCCGGATACGAAGCGAGCGTCACGCACTTTCCAAAATGACCGAGTGGCAGCACGTGACCTTTGACGACGTTGCGCCGACGCCGTGGAAGAATGGCGGCGGCGAGACGCGGCAGCTCGTGGCGTGGCCGCAAGGCGCCGACGACTGGACCCTCCGTGTCTCGATCGCGGACGTGACGCAGGACGGGCCGTTCTCGTCCTTTGACGGGATCCGCCGGTGGTTTACGGTCCTCTCGGGCGACGGCGTCCGCCTGTTTGAGGACATGGACATTTGCGTCGGCGACAAGCTCTACGAATTTGATGGCGCGCTTGCCCCGGCGTGCTCGCTTCTCGGCAGCGCCGTCCGTGACTTCAATGTCATGTATCGCGAAGCCGACGGCGGGAGCATGGTCGTGACCAACGCCAAAGCGACGCACAGCCTCTACGCGATGGGTGCTCGGTTCCTCGGTCTCTTCACGGTCCGATTCGACTTGCTTTTGCTTTGTGTTGGACGCTAACTGATTGTGATTAGGTCGATGGCGGCGAGCTCATGATCAACGGCCTCGAGAGCGTGCGCGTGTCGCCCATGACGCTCGTGTGGGCGCAAGATACGTCGGCAGAGCTGGTCTTTTCCAGTCACGGGCCCGGCGCTGCGTTCTGGTTGCACCTTGAATAACAAAACATAATCTTTCTGAAGCGGAAGGTAGAGAGCTACTGCGAGCTAGATTGGTGATGGTTGGCCATGGCGTGGTGTCTCGGTGACGAGAGTCTCATGGAGTCTGGAGTCGTCCAAAGCTGGCTCGACGTGCAAAGAAAAGTTGAGGAAGATCGGTCGCAGCTGCCACCCAAGACGCCATACCCTTGCCATATCCAAGCTGCTGAAGATCTGCGTTTCTCTATCCCGTCGTAGCGCTTTCGTGTATCGGAGCCCAGTGATCGGAGCCAAAAGAGAGGCTACGAAAACGCTGCTCAATATTAGAAGCGGCGGTGAATGGAATTGGCCAAGGTGTAGTAGTGATGTAGGACATAAAATTGAGGGATACTTAGAAGAGAGAACAAATCTAGTTTTGACGAAGATTGCGCTGCCATTCGTTGGGGTTGTACGGCGCAGGGCCAGGACCAGGGGCTGGACCAGGCTGCGGACCCGGCTGTGGACCCGGCTGCGGACCTGGTTGAGGGCCAGGCTGCGGACCCGGCTGCGGACCTGGTTGAGGACCCGGTTGAGGGCCAGGCTGCGGCCCAGGGCCAGGCTGAGGGCTGTACGGACCAGGACCCGGTTGTGGGCCGGGGTTAGGGCCTGGAGCAGGACCGGGATTGGGGCCTGGAGCGGGACCGGGGTTCGGGCCTGGAGCAGGGCCGGGAATGGGGCCTGGCGCGGGACCAGGATTGGGTCCAGGCTGCGGGCATGGTGTTCTCTTGCCCCAGCCGCCGCCACCGCCGTTGTTCCAGCCACCGCCGTTGTTCCAGCCGCCGCCGTTGTTCCAGCCACCGCCACCGCCATTCCACTTGCCGCCGCCGTTGATTTGCCAGCCGCCGCCCGAGTTCCAGCCGCCGCCGCCGTCGGGTTTCTTGAACGTCATGGCATCCGCCGGCGCCTCTTGCGCAGCGAGTGCAAGCGTAAAGATACTGGAGAGGTAGATGGCCACCATGAAGCAAATTGGAAAATGAGTTGACTCGGGCTCGAGGAAGCCTTCGTCGAGCTGGCTGGATCTACAGGTTCGGAAACAGGATCTAGGGGTAGGGTTCACGACCCGCTCGAATTTCCAAATGTATCACAAACCACCGACGCTGCTAATCATATGTCGAAGCTATTATCCAGAGTCTTTCCTCTCCCGCGTCTCCGACTATGACAAGCGGCGACTCGTACTTTCAACGACTGAGCATCGACTCGATCTCCCAACGCTTGCAAGAGGCATCTTGTTGGGCTTTAGGGTTACGCGAGTTGCAGAAAGTATCAAGTTGATAGTCCAATCGATCACGCGTCTTCCTCGGCCTGGAGCTCCTTGGCCATGCGTTTCCTACACACCTCGGTATCGTACGTAGTTGGCGAGTTCAAACCCATGTACCGCATGGTTTTTTCCATCTTCTCCTCGACCGACGGACCCGTCTTGCGCTGCAGCAGTGGAATGTGCTTGAGCCCTTTGCCTGCCGGCGGCAGCGACGGCCAGACGCTGCCAAACGGAAGGAGGTCGTCCGACGACGCCGCTGGCACCTTGGCGTCCACTTGGTCGGGGCTCAAATGCTTGAGCCGCTTTTGGACCTCCAGGAGCGCGTGGGGTCGCGATACGTTGAGCGACTTGATCGTCTCGAGCTCGTTCTTGAGCATCGCCGTGCGAAGACTCGCGGCTTCCCACTGCTCTTCAATGTCGCAGTAGACACGGTTGAGCACGCCCGGCGTAAACCTAATGTGTAAAAGTAACAACACCATTATCCTATGTGGACAATAGTGTCGTACGTCATGTGCATCTGGTCGTATTTGCAGTCGTGCAACACCAGCGGGAGCTCCGAGGCCATTTCGTACTACGTACGATTGGGTCCATGTGCCTCCACCACGCAATCTCTACCTGGGGCTTGCGGGGCGTAGCCTCAATGTCAAGGAGCGTCGTCACGATCGACGGCGCTTCGAGCCCGCGGCCGACGAGAAACAACACGGCTGCCATGCAGCGGACTTGATGCCACAAGAAGGCCTTGCCATGGATCTATCCAAAACCGAATCCAACAACCATTGGATAGAGTTCAATCGGATACCTCGAGGTAGCACAGCTGGTAGTATTCATCTCCGCTGGCGTCGACGGGCTCGGCTTCGTGAATCTTGAACGACGAGATCGAGCGTTTGAACGCTAGGACGTTTGGGTCCATGCGGCAAAAGTTGCGGTGGTCCATGTCGACGCCTTGGAGAAGCGCCGCTGCCTCCCGCATGCGCTAGCATCATAGCATGCTCCACTGCGCATCGCACAAAATGAGGAATCGATACCGTCAAGTCCATCCGGCGTCGATGGAAAAAGTACTTGTATACGCGGCCGATGCAGTCAAAGCGCGCACTCCACTCGGCCCGCGGCGCCGGCGCCCAGCCATAGATGCGAATGTCCTATGCAATCCATAGAGATATGCATGCTGATAGCCAAACGTACGGCCGGCAGCGCCGAGTTGAGCGAGACTGGGTAGTCGAGCTCGGTGAGCGTCTTGATGGTACCGTCCGGGAGCTGGATGCGGAAGGGCTCGTTTGGGAGAATGTCGTCGATGTTCTTGTCGTCGAGAAGCACTGCGTCCGTGGGCACATTCGAGCGCACGATGAGCCCGACGACTTGCCCGAGGGCGCTACGCTCGGCGGTTTGGCGATGGGAAGGCGGGTGGGTGCGGACTACCTGACGCCGGCATCAGTGCGGCCGCAGCGCGAGTAGCCGCACTTGTTGAAGTCTTCAATGAGCCGCGCGCGGTGCAGCGCATCGATGAGATACCGCTCGATCGTGTGCTAAGCCAAGGATAAGCTCCTGGCAGAGAGACAGCCGGATCGACCTCCATGTGGTCTTGGCGGGCAAACCCGGCGTACTTTTCGCCTGCGTACGAGAACTTGAGCGCAATGTGGCGGGTGCGGAAGCGGCTGAAGTCAAAGGGCTTGGGCGGCTTTTGGTTGTACGCCAGCTTCTTCTGCTTCTTGGTCTGCGGCTCGCCGCTGCGCACGGCCCGCGCCACCGTGTCGACCGCGTGCGCGAGGTTGTCGGGCGACTCGCGCAGCTTGCGCACCACCTGGAGCAGCTCGTCCTTGGTGAACTGGTCGTACGGCACCGGTGTCATGCTCTGCGTCGTCGTCCAGTGTCCAGTTGTGCGTGCACCTTGAAGCGCGACAACCATTGGTCATCCGGATAACGATGGCATGGGCTAAACGCACGCCTCTTTAGCCGCTGGCAGAGACAAAGCGCGCAGGTTGCTTTGTCGATGTGTACACAGCTTTAGTTTGATCGCGGTCGTCGGTCGAGTAAAAATATTTGCGGCGTCCGCGACCTTGCGTCGGCGAGGTCAGACCGAGAACTGGAATTCTACTCAAGTATGAGCCGGGAATAGTCATCGTCGCGTCCTCCTTGTTGATAAATCCAAGAATGCAACGGTATACTATACGTCGGTTAGTTATTGTGTAGTACTATTCAGGTGCTAGTCTTGCATGACGTCGAGCAGATGAGCCGATGAGCCGAGGAGCGTGCAAAGGCGAAGACGCGCCCCAGGAGAGCGTTCGCGCTAGGGCCCTCAAGCTCTCGGGTTGCCATCAACCAAGGGCAATTTTTATTTCTCTTGCATCACTGAAAATTGTCGAGACGCAGGGACCTTATTCGAGCTTGGGTGAGGTGCTTCGAGATGAATGGCCCCTGGTACCAATTTCGCCATACTGCCGACTTTCCACTGCCCAGCCCATGGACGATTGCCGTCAAAGCGGCGCGTGTCGCTCAAATGCACTTGCACCACAGCCTCGTTCAAAACCCAGGGCAGATGGCTCTACGTCGCCTTCTCCGGCTCCTCGGTCAACACGAGTGGCCGCGCCAGCACCTTGTCCCGCGGATCGCGCTCCTGCCTCCGCCGGCCGAGATCAAGATCATCACCAGCGCCTACACAACGAAGAAAGTCCGACAATTTTATTTAGCGTAGATTGACGTATCTATTTTAATAGACGACCCACTTCAACAACAACCAATTTCGCCATACTTGTCACCAACAAAAATGCAAAACAATATCAACTACCGGGTTTGAACCGGTGACCTTCTCGGTGTAAACGAGACGTGATAACCACTACACCAAGCTGATGTCTTCTCTTCACACAGAAATTTAAGCATATAGTGGCATTTACAAAAGTAGGAAGCAACAACAGCAAGGGATCTATCCCGTACGGGTCATTAAAGACGCCATCTGAGCCACGGTAGGTCTACGGTATCGTTATCCTGCTTCAGTGTCATCGGCAGGAGAGACGCGACCTGGTGAACGGTGTTATCTAAATGTTTTAAACGCGTGTTTTAAACACACAGAGTGACACCCAATTAAACGCCAACGGGACTGGCAGCCAAGATCGGTGGGCATGGCCACAGCAACGTACGAAGCCGGCGCGGGCGCCGTGACGGTCGCCATCGACGGAGACCATGACGCATGGCTGGCCGCTGGCCGATACGGCGCCGTTGACGGTGCCACGCGATGGCTCTCGCTCGAAGAAAGCGTGTACCTTGCAGCGCTCGGGCGCATCGCGTTTGCCTCGATGGCGCTGCCCACTGCCTACGCGAGCTTTGCCGCGTACGAACGACGAGCCCTCCATGGACCTTACGAGCGCTCATACGTATGCGTAGGCGTGATGCGGCCTTTCCGGCGCGCTACGCCGTGTACCACCACTACCGGTCGCAAGGATGGATTGTGCAGTCGGGCCTGGCCTACGGGACGCTCTTTGCGCTCTACAGCGCGTCGCCGGACGACGTGCATTCCGAGTACCTCGTGTACTTGGATCCGGCCAACAAACCGCTGTCGTGGCCGAGCATGCAGGTATCGCTATCAACGTGAGCAGAGGTAGGACGCCGCCTCTCTCTAGGTGCTCACACGGCTCAGCGAAGACGTCAAGAAGACCATTTTGCTCTGCCAGCTCCACGACCCATCCAGCGCACCAACGAACGCGCTTCTCATTACGACACCCGTCGTGACGCTGGCGCTGTCGGAGGTCATGTTTCGGTACTGGCCCGCGCTCGCGTCGGCCGAGACAACGCCGACGACGTACGCAATGCGCCCGGCGACAACAATTCCGAAGCGCAAACGTCGCTAGCACTTTGTTTTCCTAACGTTATCTAATTCCACACGCTTCAAATGGTCTACGTGGCGCAGACCGCACTTGTCGACTCGGCAATCGACTTGGTGGCAGCATTCACCGAAGCGGTGGAGTACCCAGCCGCGAGTAGGAGTACCACGCAAACCTGCGTTCACGTTGCGGCGTATCCAGATTTGGTAACAGGTTACAGATTTGGTAGCAGATTTGGTAGCACATTTGGTAGCAGATTTGGTAGCAGATTTGGTTTCCAGATGTCGTATTCCGATTACATAGCCATCAAAGAACTAAAGCACCAGCTTCAAGACGCAACACCATGCGTCGGCAGTGGTCCTTCTCGGCAAAGTCTCGAGCGATGGTGCAGCAAGAAGGTTTTGATATATGGTCTGCGTCTTGAGCTTAAACAGCAGCTTGGGGGCTACTCGGATGCAACGACGAGGCGTCGGCGCATGCGCGTCTCTTCCTCGGCATTTTCATGGGCCAAGAGCCCAAGCGTAATGGCATCCTTGAATCGCAGTGGCACCCGCTGGAGATACGACGGAAAGTGCGCCAGAGTCTTTTTTGGTTTGCCAATCCGCAGCTATTGTCAATGGTTCACAAGACATCATTTTCAGTGCAATGACTCCAATGCGATACCCGTTCTTGGCGCTGCCGCAAGAGCTGCTCTTCGGTCATCGGTGCGTCCGGGTGGCTCAGCGCTCGAATGTGATCGGCCCACGCTTCGTAAAAGTCGTCGAGCAGCTCGTAGTACAGTCTACATCACCGTCGACATGCATGAGAACAGCATAGAGCGTCCAAGGCCAACTTGAGATTCGCACGCTCTTGGTCGTCCTTGTACGTATCTTCGCGGTCGGCGCGCCGACGGAGGTTCCTACAGGTATATATAGCCTTTTGTACTCGAAACATGACGACTTGTGTCGACGCCACTGCTGCTTGTAGAGCGCACTGCCCAATGCCATGGGGTAGGCCAAATGCACCGGGCTCTTGCCATACGTTGTGAACGGAATGTGCCCGATCGTTGCATGGTCGACGTCGATGTGCCGGTGTCGGCCCTTGACCTTGCCTTGACTAAACGACCCTTCGTAGAGAAACCGAACGTGCGTCTACATCTGGTATACGACAAAGTGTGCAAGTTGAAACAAAGTACCTCTGGATCTGAGGGCAGCGTCTGGTTGTACGCGAGGTCACCACGCCCCGACGGCAGGTCATTGTACCAAAACGCTGTCAATGTACTTCCGTCGTGGCCTTCAAGAACGCCGCGGCCACACTTGGCGCCTGCGTCCACCCTTTCCTCAGTCAAATTTAGTGTCCACCGGGGCCCACCGTCTCGAAACGAGCCGCGATAGACGTCGTTGTACTGGTTGGTCTGCGTGCCAAGCCCGTTCAATACACCGTGCTCAAACACACCTTCTTCGCACAAGCTAGGGGTAGGGTAGGGCTCGGGTTACGTGACGCGACCAAATACCCATTGGGTTCCTTGCGGTACCCCGGGCCGTGTAAAAGCCCTTCGAGGAAGATGCCTTCTTCAACCACACCGGCGGAAGAGACGTAGCGCCCGCGGCCCGTGACCTGACCATTCTCCATCTCGCCGTCGTACCTACTCGCCTCAAATACGCAGCATACATGTGTGTGCGTTGTACGTGGCGCCGTCTGCAAACTTGATGGTCCCCGTACCGTGGGGCACACCGATCTGGAATTGTGTTGGGAGCACGGGCTTGGGGTACGGCTCGGGCTTGGGTCGTAGCTCGTACTTGGACCGGGGGACGTCAAAGTCGCCCGCATACTCGTCGCCGCGGCCATAGACCATGACCCCTACCCCTGTCCTTTTGCGACATGAATTTCGTTTAGTATGATACCGTAGCCGCGTCGGACGTTGTACTCGTAGCTGCCCTTGTAGACGCCATAGTTGGTGTACTCGATGGCCTTGGGGTCATGCTTTGTGCCGTCGACCCAAGTGCCACGGTACATGGCGTCGATCGAGCTAAAGTGGAAATCGTCGTCGGTCGGCAGGTCGTCCGTGACATAGTAATCTATACCAACTAGGTAAAAATGATATATTGATACATTTACATACCGCCAGGACCGTGCTTGATGCGGGAGATGCGCACCATGCGCATGTTGACTTCGAGCGACGGGTCGTCGAATTCTTCGCACGAGACAGACGGTACAGGCCGCGTCTTGGCCAAGCGGAGGTCACCCCAGTCACGTTTGTTGATGGCCTACAGAAGAAACATGTCATATTGTTTTTTGAATCATAGAGTCGCACCATGAGCGCCAGATCTTGGCCGCGCAAACTCCTAAAATCGGCAAACCAGTGGTATTTTTCCTTGTCCTATCCGCAAAAAAGTCGCGACGATCGCAAAGATCGAGTGTCGTACGTTCTCTTTGGCCGCGTCGACAAAGCGGTGCTCAGTCTAGAACGAGTCGAGTGTAGCTGGGATAAGTATGCTACCTACGCCGTCCTTGAGGTAGCTCAGCGTGATCGGTTCGCTCAGAAAGAGCCGCGTCCAGCGTTTGATGCAGTCTTTCGTGGTTTGAATTTGGTTGTCCAAAGTCTTTTGTTGCGAATTGATGGCCCGCGTGACTTGCTGCCGCGTGTCAATCTGCTCGGCTTTCTTTCCGCTCTGCCATTTGTCAGATTGTCATTTTGTACATTTTCAAAAATAAGAAATAACACACAAATGTTTCCTACCACTTCCATGGTACCGACGGTCTCGAGACGGTCGAGGAGGAGGTCCTTCTTCTTCGCCAGCACCGAGAGCTTGAATTTCGCGTCGTTGATTTGGTCATAGTCCATGAGGAGACCGTGGAGAAGCCAATGTCGCAAGTCCATCTCGGTGCACTAGCATATATTGAGGATGCATGTCATTCATTGTCGAACTTGCACCTCTTTTGGGACGTTGGCCACTTTAATCACCGTGTATCCTTCGTAGCGCGGATCCATTGCCTCGTCCAACGGCAGCGGCTCGTCGCTCTCGACGATGTCGTAGCACCACGACTCGGTGGGCGTCGCGGGCATCATTTTGAGCTGCCATTCGCGCGGCCAGAGCACCACTAGACACCGTATGAACACTACTATAGACATTGTGTCCACGTACTGCCAAATGGGTCCCGCGCATAGTACGCATTGCAGTGAAAGAGGCGGTTGACGACCTTTCTACATATATTTGGTCACATGTCGGTGAAGAGTCATTGACGCACAAGCGGAGGTTGGCACGGGTAATGCCGCGGTACGGGTTGGTGGCGACACTTGTATTCTCTGGATCAAAGACACGGAGGCGGATCGAGTCTTCCTTCACCTCTTCCACGATCTTGCCCGTCTTGGTGTCGAGCACCTTGCGGCCTGTCCGCGACTTGGTCGACGCCATCTCACGTCGCTTCGCAAAGATCCACACTCTATGCTTTTGTATGCCGTAACTTTCTGTGTACGGAAAAAGGACTCAATCCACAGCTCCAACGTTCCTGCTTCTAGGACTCGATGGAATCGCGACCCAGAACACTGTGTGCATGAGCCTGGACGCCCTCGTAGCTTGGGGTCGACTCTGGCGCCGTGCATACCGGTATTGCACCTGAATCCATTTCTCATATCTGTCTCATTTTGAAGATGTATTATCGTTTCAGTCAGTATTGCGTGTTGCATGGGACGCGGTGGCGAGGTCGTGGCTCACAAGCCAAGCAACAGTACTCGGTTGTCGCTCTGCATTCTGCATGCGTTAAATTCCTTCTCCCACGCGCTAAACATGGTGAAGACACGGCTTGCTGTCGGTGGCGAGCTGAACCGAACGCGATCTTTCCAGAAGCAAGAGCTTGGATCCACTTCAAGGATCTCGGACGCATAGCAAAGATGTCGACGCACCCTTCTTCAAGGTACTCGGACCTTCTCGCGGTGGGGGTCGGCCACCTGCTTCGACGAAATCTCAGGCTGGCAACGTGCTGACAACCCTCGACAGTGAGACTGATACGAGAAATGCAACATGCCGCCGACTGGGAGAGGAATGTTGATATTGGCTAGAACCACCCAACCTCCGGCAGGTTGGTGGGCGCCTCGCCCTTGATTTCGCATCTGATCGCGGCCATCGTGGGCTCTCTATACAGACTGTATTGTTGTTCACCTCGGAACGGCGTATAGATACGGCGAACGCGAGGCCAATGCCGCCGATCATTTTCGCTGGCGGGGCTGAGGTGGCGTGTTTCTAGATACAGGGGTCGCCCAGCGGGGGCACTCCAGTCAATCAAGTATACTGAAACCAAGATAATGAGTGTATTTTAATACACTGCCTTTTTCTATTTTTGTGTCGCAGCCGCCACTTTGTCATTTCCAGGACCCGCCGACAAGCAACATGGCGACCTACCGCCCATGCACGCTGCGCGTCCATGTACACAAGGCGACGGACTTGGCGGCCGCGGACTTTGCGCTTCTGCGCAAGGCGACGAGCGACCCGTATGTGATTCTCTCGATCGACCGGCAGCGCTTCAAGACGCCGGTGCTCCTCCGCGAGCTCAACCCAGTCTGGGAAGGCTGCGTGTACGACTTTAACATCACCCAAGGCGACTTGTACACCAAGGTGCTCGACATCCAGGTCATGGACGAAGACGATCTCTCAGCCGACGACATTATCGGGACGCTCGCGATCCCGCTCGCGCAGTTTGCCAAGCAGATTGACGGCCTCGACAGCAGCGCCAAGATGCGCTCGTACAACTTGAACGTGCCCGCCGAGTTTGAACGGCAAAAGGTCAACAGCCAGCTGTACCTTTCGATCGAGGTCATTCCTGGCGAGCACATTGTCGATGGCTCGTTCGTGCCCCGCCTCCTCAAGGTCCAGTTGCACCAGGCGATGGACTTGGCGGCCGCCGACTTTGCGCTTCTTCGCAAGGCGACGAGCGACCCGTACGTCATCTTCTCGGTCGAGTCGCAGCGACACAAGAGCCCCATCATCTCGAAAGACCTCAACCCGGTCTGGGACAACTGCTGCTACGAGTTTCATTTGACCCAAGGCGACATGTTTACCAAAGTGCTCGACGTGCAAGTGTACGACCACGACAGCGCGAGCGACGACGACCTCATTGGTACGACCGTGCTCCCGCTCGCGCAATTCGAGCAGCAAAACGAGGCCAAGCGCCGGTCGTTCTCGCTCTCGGTACCCGACGAGTTTCGCAAGCAACGCGTCAACTCGCAGCTCGTGCTCACCATCACGGTCGAGAAGCCCGAGCCGGTCACCGCCGACGAAGAGAAGGAAGCCACGATCCAAAAGATGCAGCTGGAAATCGCGCAGCTCCAAGCGTCGAGCCGCGTCCTGGTGAACAAGCTCGGCCGGCAAATGAGTTTGCCACCGGCAGCATCGTCGCCCAAGGCCGGCCCACCGCCGTCGCCGTCGCGCCAGCCGTCCATCGAGACGGGTACCCTTCCTCGCCTCGAGATTGCTTTCTTATTCGTTACTTCCTGTATAGAGCACGACTCGACGCGTCGGGCGCTAGTCAACGAGCTCCACGGGTTGCTCATGCTGCCAAAGATTGAGAAATTTCACAAGTTCAAGCCCGTGACGCAGGACGCGTATGCGTCCAAGCTCGAAGACGAGATCGAGTCGCTCAAGGAGGAGCTCGCCAAGCAGCAACAGACGCATGCGCTCGCCCACCAGATGAAGGAAGCCGACGAAGACGAGGTGCTTCGGCTCCGCGATGAGATTGCCCTGCACAAGGCGACGCTGGCCGCGACGCAGAAGATGATGCAGGACCAGCTCGTGCGCGAAGAGCTCCAGGCGCAAGAGATGGAGCGGCTCAAGATCTTTACGCGGTCCCTCTCGATCACCGAGGCGCCGCGACCGGCCATGAGCCCCCGCTCCAAGTCGACGAGCGCCATGGTGCACGACGACAAGGCGGCCGACGATGCGTCCATGTGGCTTTAACCGCCATAAGATCCTATTCAACTATACCATTTATTCCATTTCCAATCACAAACTCGAAAAATGTGCGGCCGCCGGTGTCAAAGTCGCAGATCAATGCCGTATTTACATGCATAAAGTCCTGACAGGAGCAAAGAGCCCAGCCTTTCTCTTGGCTACGATTGCGTCGAGCCAGGGCTCTGAGATTTGTTCTGAGCGCAGTGCAAAATCTATAATACCAGATCTTGTTGACGTGAACGACAGCTGGGGTTAGGTTAGTGTCGGAACTGTTAACTCGGGGCACTTCGAGCAGCGCAAAACGTCACACCGTCAACATTCTTCAGTTGCTGTCTCTTCTTCAGTCGTTGAGGCAGCAAACCCGTCGCGACCTGCAGCCCACAACGCAGGAGTCGTCTAGGACCGAGCAGCAACGGTAGCCAAAGATACACCGCAAATTGTCAGCATTGTGTGCACGCATGCCCCGCGTTTGTCATATGGTGTGACGAGTGGCTGTCGATGGCTATTCCTTTCAACAACGTGAGCTCATTTTGACGACGACTATCACGTTGCCATAGAAACATTGCACAATACTTTGCCTCCTTTTTGGTCCTATATTCGTTTACCCCACTTCATGGATGTAAATCATGTAAATAACGTGCCAGACCAGCCCTACTATGTGTTTAGCGTATTACAGCTATCTCCTGGCTTCCTATGTCTCTCCAAAAAGGGTGCAGCGAAGGCGCGTAGAGTCGTCGGGTCGGGCGTTGTGCTCGTCGATAAAAAATGTCTAACCTTGTCTTGTTGAGTCTAGTTACTACGTGCATATTCAGGGCAAAATGATGCGATGGCAATGGGCCGTTGACGGTCGACGTCGTACATGATCGGTGGCTGCTTGGCGGTTTGCACCAAGTGCGTCGTGACAGCACGCGCGCACGACTCGTACATAAACTTGAAGCCGCCGGGAAAATGGAAAAAAATCGGCGCCGACCCACTCCAAGTCAGAATACTGGCGCTGCCATTGACAAAGTACGACGGCGCGCACCCGCTGTGGGGCGTGAGGTGCTCGAACGTCCCGTGCGCGACGCTCGACGAGACGACAAAGAAGATGTCGCCGTCGCGGTCGACCTGCGCGTTGAGCTCGGGAAACTGCACGTACGCAAGCTGGAACGAAATCTGGTCGCCGTAAAAGAAGAACGGACTCGTCCCTGCGTCATAGGCGTCTTGCTGCATCTTGTGCACTTGCTTGACGCGGCGGAGGTACGCGCGGACGCTTCGCACGTCACCGAGAATACCCCCCGAGCCAAGAAACAAGTTGGGTCCTGTGCCAAACTAGATCATATCAATGTATCAGTCGAGCGTTTCAAATCTCAGAAAAAGGACGTACACTGGTGGCGATGGACCGGGCGCGGATCTCGTCACACATGTCCAACCCGCGCACAGACCGCGTCGGCGACGAGGTGTTGAGCCGAACATCAAAGGATGCGGCGCGCAGGTGGTCGCCATAGTCACCGCCGAGCGTGAACGAGTCGCCACACGTAGGCTCGGCGTTGAAGAGGATGCCGCGCTGCCCTTTTGTTTGGCGCAAGAAGCGCTGCGTGAGCACGTCCATTGGCATTTGTACGACCACGTCATAGGCGTCCGTATATAAAAGAAGGTCGTCGTCGTGCAAGTCTGGGTGTGACGCGACGTAGTGGTGCAGCCAGTGGGTCTTCTTTTGCTGGCCAATGCGAAAGTCGTTGGCCGTGTTGGCGCCGCACTGGGCGCCGCACGACGTGTTGTCAAAGAAATTCGTCGAGTGATTCCACGCCAGCACCTGCAGTTGATGGCCCGTCGCGTGCACGGCAGCTGCCACGAGGCAGATCTCGGGGCGGGGGTCGTCGGCGAGCGTCACAACATGAAGCTTGCGCGGGGTGTAGCGGGGGGGCGTGTCCCCCTGGCGCAGTGTGCGCTCGAATTGGACCAAGTGCACGACCGAGAGCGTGTTGAAAATGATCACGAGAAGCGCGAGGCACCCGAGGCTGACAAGGAATGGCTTTGCACGCAGCATGGATGCAAGCGAGTTGAAAAGTGATCACTTGCGTGTTGTTGTTGCGCTGGTCGTTGCCCCAAATTATTCCTTTCATATGAACCACAAGGAGGAAAGCCAGCGTCGTTTTGGTGGGGGAAGCTGGTCTCTGCGTCTGGATGTCCACGTCCATCTGACGAGCCGCAACGCGTGTCGTGCTCTATTGCAAAAGGTACTAGTGATCGGGTTTGAGCGGCGTGATCGGTTGCAACACTTGGTGGTACAATCATGGGCATCGAAAGCCGCGCTGTCCGCTTGTTTGTTCTTGTACAGAATATGGAAGGCTCTCAAGACCGTTTGGGCCTTCTAGTAGTGGTGACGACGCCCCAGCCCCGATGCGCGGTGCGAACGCGTTACGTTGCCAGAGAGCGTGTGCGATATGTCCTACAGTGCCACCAAGAGACAACAGATGTATCAGATCGCGGCAAGGCGCTTGTGGAAATTTGAGGGGATGGCGATACGGGCGGTACCATCATCAACTCCAAAATTCCCGTCTCATCCTGCTCAGCTCAAATTTCCATGTCCTGACTGTCGAATATGTCACGGCGTGAAACGGAGACCGGATATCCGCCGCGACACCTCCTTCCGTCGGATAACCACAAGATCACGGAATACCCTACTGCCAGGGCTAAAATCGAATACGGACGGTGCGCTGGTAGCAGCCAAAAGGTATGGACTCGTATCCCACGAGCGTGTGGTGTAGCACCCATGCCACTTTTGTTGCGAATGCTTGCAGTGCAGTACATACCAGTAAGGGATGCAATTTGGACCACTGTTGTTGAAAACATGTGTTTGCACCTGACCGACAGATCTTGTTTGACGAGTGTCCGCCCCACGCACCCGGACACACGTCATACGGTTCTACTGTACGATTGCAACTACTATTGCACTGCGCCAAGACACATATAGCGTAGGCCTACGCCGCCAACGATGACGACGTGAGCGCTTTTCGTTGCCAGCGTTATTGGCGCCAGCTTCGTAACTGTCGTTGGCTCAACCGCCACAGGATCGCGGCGCGGGATAGCAACGAGCTGTTAGCAATCTTGCCCATGCCCCGAGGTCGTCTTTGGCAGCGCCATGTCCAACGACGACTCGCTCCGAGAAGGCCTACCGCGCATTATCCGAAAGATGTGCGTTTCGATTTGCCGAACACACAAATATATTGCAGTGGTATTGCCGTTATTTCGCAGGTCACAACGACCGGCTAAAAATACGGAAAAATACGACACGTTTTCCAACTGATAAAAAGGCGGGATGGCAACCATGGTGGCGCTCAAGGGCGTCGACTGGGCCCGGCTTGTCGAGCGGGTGCGCACACGCGTCGTGCCGCTTCTCGGTGTCCTCGTCTTCATCTCGATGGCCGTCGACTTGGTCGTCAACAACTGGGCGATCAACGATATGCTCGGGAACGGGTACTTTTTCGCATCTCCCGTCGCGTCCGTGCGCTACGCCAAGGACCTCGCGTCGATCTACGCCTATCCCAAAGGCCGAACACCCGCCGACCTCTCGAACGTCGGGCAGCTCCTCGTCAACACGACCGTGCGCGGCTTGGGCTGCAAAAGCGACCAGATGTACGTCATTTCGGCCGGCGAGTACCCGCTCACGAATGCCACGTCGCTCTGCGCCATCTTTCAGAATACGTATTTCAACGTCGTGGTCTCGTCCGCCTCAACGGCACGCCTCGCGACCACGACCGAGACGGTCACATTCTACCGCGGCAACGCTGTCACGCACGCCTTCACGGACGACGAGTCGGCGAATCTTGCGACCCCCGCCATGAGCAGTGCGCAGCTCATCGACCTCGGGTACATTCCCGGTCGGTCGGCGGTCGACATGCGCTTTACGCGCGAGTTTGTCATCGCCAACACTTCGCTACCACAAACGCAAAATATTGCGTATTTTCGGGCGTATCCCCGTAATTTTTGCAGCGTGTGCGACCCGGTTTCGGAGCTCGGGTTTGGCGTCTGCAACATGACCTTTGTGTACAACGCGACCGCCAAGACAATTACGGTTTCGTCGAGTTCGTTCATCGACGGCTCGGTGTATACGCTTGGCCTTATTCAGCCGCGCAATTCGTTTACGACGCTAGCGCTCTACGCGCGGTTTGTAGCGATCTTCATTGCGCTCAGTGGCTTCATTGCGAGCCGGCTCACGGTGCATTGGCGTGACGTCGACTTGACAACGACCGAGGGCTTCGTGTCCCATATGTTGCGCATCATTTCGCCGAAATTGTTTCCGTACCCGAGCGACGCGCTTTCGCCGACCATGTTTTGCTTCAACTCGGACCTCTTTGTGTTTCTCTACTCGCTGAGTATTGTGCTCGACGCGCAAAATTGCTTTATCTTTGTGCGCAACGTCAACGTGTACAACAATCTCTCGCCGCAATTTGCGCCCACGATTCAAATGTTCTTTTTGAGTACGCGCTTTCTCTGGCTCAACTGCGCGGTCCTCAAAGTGCTCAAGATTTTGTGGAATTTGCTTGGCACGGTGGCGTTCACGGGCCACTCCAAAGTCGTGGAATGGCTCAACTGGTCGAGTGTCGTTTGTGTCTACATGAGCGCAATTGTCCTAGTGTACATTCCGCAGTTTATCGAGTACAGCAACAGCACCTTTATCGACTTGCAAGGCAGCGCCGAGTCGCTCGACGGCATCCGCGTCGACATGTTTGACAGCTTTTACGTGCGCTGTGTGTCGTCGATTGCGATCGGCCTCTTTCTCAACCTCGTGGTCGTCACGGCGCTCGACCATGGACTCAACCGAAAGCGCTGGCTGCTGCTCAAGAAACACACGTTGGCACGCCAAGCAATCTACAACAGCAGCTCGATTCTGTGCGATTTCTTCAGCGATGTGCACGAAGACGACTCGATTGTTGCCGACCCGACAATGACGCTCTCGGCGCGCCGCCTCTGCACGCTCCAATGGTTCTTCTCGACGCATTTGACGTGCTTTGGGCTGCCAGAAAAGAAACTGCGCGCGAAGAAGCAGACAATGATTCAAGTGCAGACCAAGTCGGCGCCGTCGACCGCGAGTTCAGCGACGACCAACTCGCGCAGTGGCGCCATGAGTGAGGCCGCCGCCGCCGCGCTTCTTGCAGGCTTCAAGACCGGGAAGGATGACCCGCGCAACGCCACGTATTACCTTGTTGTGCAAGATGGCGAGGCCAACATTCACTTGCTGGATGGTGCGCTCTCGGACATTCAGAGCATCTCGATCCACGCCAAAGTGGCCAATAACGCCAACTTGACCATCAAGTAGAGGACAAGGTTGTGTGTATATGCATCTAAATTTACTAGATATATATGTTTCGAGTGTATTCTTTTATGAATTCGATTTCTTTCTGCAATAAGGGACACTTCGCAACGCAGTCGTTGGAACATATTGCCGAGGCGACACGCCATCGACAAAATAGGTGCAAGAGAACCCAATAAATTGTTTATAAATTGGCGATTGGTTGAAGGACATATCGGTTAGAACATAGTTGTCGAAACATCTACTTGTAATGTAAGAAGGCATTGGTCGACGGCTGCGGCAGACGCTGCTCGGCTTTCGGTTGCAGCGACGTTGCCTCGGTCACGGGCTTGGCCTTCGGCGCGTTCGCAGCGGCTTTGGCGACTGTCATGTTGATCGCATGGTGGTGCTTGGACGTTGTCGTGGATGAGGTCGTGTTGCCCATTGTAGTAGTACGAGCAAAATGAAATTGTAGGAGCTGTCATGTTTCGCATCGTCCGATGAACCGATCGGTGATGAAGACTACCGGACTCTCACCGAAGGAGCTGCGAGCTTGTCGACGCCGTCGGATCATACTAGAACAACAGCGACAAGGGCGTAGAACCATCACTCGGTCATCGACGAGATAAGGCTCGTCTACCAGAGAACACGGTTGGAAGCTGAAAGAGGTTTTGCAGGCACCCGCCTCGTCCCACGAGCACACTGTCTCGACCAATAGAACCTTCTGGATTCGTGGACACCACAAACTATATCAGATGTTTATGGCTCCCGTCACAGCCATGATCAAATCATCCAAGAAGAGCTCAAGGAAGGCACTTGATCGACCCCTCTTGCCCAGACGGTAGATTCCTGTTTATTGGGCGCAGGTGCTGTTCCTTTCGTCGCTCACTCCCCCGCGTTGATGTCGGATCCGCCACGTTGATGCTTCACGCTTTGCCTCCACCAGAGAGTCGCGACGTAGTGAAGTGACCTCTTCTCAAACTATTCATTCACAAATCATTCCCCTTTTCATATCCTCAACCTCACTTTCTCAAACAAACAATGCATAATTTCACTAGTCCCTACCCCTCGCCACTAAGACCACTGCTCTCTCTTTTACCCCGTGTCGAGACACTGCGTCGTCGCGCGCAGCGTCACTCACCACTCTCTGTCATGTCATGGTACTGCACCCGGTATGGCGTCCCCTGCGCCAACTCTCAGCTGGCCAGGCCGATGCTGAGATGAACCATGCAATCAGTGAAAACCAACAGTGTTTAAAACAGTGTTTGCAACACGACTGGGCGGCACGACAGAGTGCCACGTATATGGTCTCGTCGGACGCGTCTCTGCAAGCGCCTGTCGAGGGCTGTCGGTTCTCCGACCATTTTTCAATTGACGACAGCAAATATGAAGACTTTGACGCTGCTGCTGCCGCTTGTGCTCGCGCAACTTATGTTGGCTGCGCCGCCGACCTGCTTGTATGAAACCGGCCTCGACTATGCGGGCTTTGACCTCATGGACGTCGCGGAGATGAGCCCGTTCTACTGCTGCACGTGGTGTACGCTCGTACCGGGCTGCAAGGCCTTCGTATGGACGCGCGAGTCGGAACGCTGCTGGCTCAAAACCGAGAAAGGCAAGGCGACGCCGCACTTGTACGCGTTCTCGGGGCTTGTCAGCGCCACACGCTGCTCGGCCATCAAAGACGATATTGATATTTCCCCCGGTGCCGACATTGGCAGCGCGCCGTCGACGTATCCGGAAGCGTGCTGCGATCTTTGCGCGCGCCGAGCTTCGTGCAGCGCCTTTTCGTGGATCCCGTGGATGGGCGGCCACTGCTCCTTCAAGTCGGCCAACATGAGTGGCGAAGCGCCTGCCCCCGGTGTCCGCTCGGCCTTCTTGCTACCCTAAGTGCGTAATGACCCAACATGTATCCTGGGCTGCTCACGGCGAGGAGAGCTGTCACGCTGAAACCTTCCGTTCATTCCGCAGCAAGGGAACGTACGACGAGCCCTTGATAGGACGCAGTGTGTGCCATAGTGTCGACTCGACTGCCGCGAAAAATGCTGTCTTCAATACTGGCCGCCATGACATGAGCATCGCACGGATCTGGCGCACCAAGCACAGTACCATACCCCGCATGCTCGGTGCGGTTTAGGATTAGGATGAACGTACGTCGCTTCCACTCGGAATAGCGTCGCTTCGTGGCCACCGAACCATTGGCGGGGCACGCATAGATCATGCTGTTGTGGGCGTTGTTGATGGGAGGCGAGAGAGATGACGCGTTTGGACACTGTTCATCTTTGAAAGACATTATGGACCCTAACCACAGTCGCAAGTCAAACGACTTGCGACATACCTTCCACACGGATTGTACACCAATCGAGCGGGGACTGCAAGAGGCCATGAGGAGGAGGAGGCGACAACATGGGAGACTCTGGGTACACGAGCAACGCGACAACAAATTATACACAAGGGTGTGATTTCCGAGACAACAACCCCAATCTTACTCTTCCGCTTCTTCCTCGTCCTCCACTTCGTTTTCGAGAAACGCAACGACCGTTGCGCGCGCGTCCTTGGTGTAGATGCGCAGACCAATGACGACCGCACCGGACAACTTGTCTTCGCCATCGTCCTCGTCATCGTCATCGTCGTCTTCTTCCTCTTCCTCGTCCTCTTCACCGTCGTCGTTCTCGGCCTTCTCGGCGGCAGCTTGCATCTTGGCCTGCATCTTGGCCTTGACCTTGGCCACGTGCGCAACCTGCTGCTCGTACGCGGTCGTCTGCGTGCCGCTCGCAAACTCGAGCAAGTCGAACGTGCCGTTGAGGTTGACGGCCTTGGCGCGGCTGACGTTAAAGTTCTGGCAGATCTGAAGCAGCTTGTCCGGCCGGGCCGCGCCAACGTCCGAGACGACGTCCTGCACCGAGTCATTCCCGGTCGACGTGCGCACAATCATCAGGTCCACGTCGTACGTGCCAGCCGCAAGGTGCGGGAACTCCAAGCTAATGCTGCGGCCATAGTAGTTGCGGACAAACCGTCCCACAAACGACCGCTCGTCACCACTGAGGACCTTGTGGACTTCCATACGGAGACCGTACTCGAACGGGCCTTCAAGGCCGTGGAAGTAGCGCTCGTCGGCTTTCGCGAGCACAATGTTGGCCGGCCCGTCGGTCGAGAGCGAGAACTGGAAGACGCGCTGATCCCACGTCGCCGGCCACGCCGACCGGTACTCGATCCACTCTTGGTTGACAAACCAGTTGGCGTCATAGAGGCGGGTGCGGTCGACTTCGGTGAACTCTTCGATAAAGTCCTCGTACTGCATCCAGAAGCAGCCGTCGTCACCAAACTTGTGGTCGAGCGCGGCCATCCACTCGGGCGTCCACTCCTTCGAGCCGTCCGACCAGCGGCCGTTCCACTCGTGCTGGCCCCACGGGTTGCGGATCATGAGGAAGCGCGTACTCTTGACTTCGACGGCCTTGAGGATCGAGTACGCGTGCAGATGCACCAGACCGTTGTCGGAGCGCGACTCCAAGCCCGAGTTCTTCTTGATAATGTACGCTGAGAAGAGCGTGTCGACGTTCGTGCGGGAGAACTCGTCGACCCAAAACCGGTCGTAGTCCAAGATGTCGGTCATGAGCACCTTGGTCGAAACACCGCCCGTGAGGTCTTCGATGCCTTCGCCGGTGAAGCCGCCTTCGACCGACTTGTAGTCGCCATGGAGCTTGGTGTACGCCTTCTCCAACAGCGGCAGCCACGTCTCCCGCGCCGACGACGACTTGCCAAAGAAGAGGGCTTGCGACCCCGTGCGCAGTAGCTCCTTGTACTTGGCCTTGTCGCTGATAATGTACGACTCGTACGCGTGATCAAAGTCGGTGTGGGTCACGTAGAGCTGGTCGTCGATGATGACATGCTGCCACTCACCGTCCTTGAAGAAGATGAAGCCGTAGACGCCGACCTTCTCGTCGCGGGCGACACAAATGTTCTCAATGACCCGGGGTACGGAGCAGACGGACGCGAGCGCCGCAAGGAACCAGCAGTTGCCGGTCGTGCCCTGCTGAATATCGCTCGCATCAAAGCCGTCGTCGCAGAAGATCGGGTCCTTGAAGATCTGGCGCACACGGAGTGCACCACCGGGCGTCGTCGAGTCCCAGAGGTCGGTGAGCGAGCTGAGGCAGTCGTACTCGTTGCCGGCAATGTCAAACTCAATGTCGCGGAAGACGCGGTTGTTGGCCTTGCACTCGGCGACGATCTCGGCGACCTCTTCCTTGCAGCGCGCAACGGCGGTCGCAAGGCTCTCGGTGCTGATGAGCGACGGCTTGGGCGGCGCCGCGTCGCTAGCGAGGCGCGTGCGTCCGTGCGGCTTGGTCTTGGAGGTCTTGGTTGGGGCCATGGTGCAAAAAGCAAAGTGAGCGCGTTTTGTTCGAGCGGCAGCTCCGAATCTTAGCGTCACGGGCCTTTGATTGGACAATAAGAACATTTCACACTCAGAAACAGCCAATCAATGACGATTGTGAGGTATCTTGGCCATTGAAATTCGATGCACACCGACAACTCAGCCACCTGGTCATTCTGCACCACATGCAGCAAATCGACGCACAATCACACGCACTGCACTGGCGTCGAGCACCTCAGGCTTGCTGCACCCCATGTAAATACGCTTCTTCTAGCATGGGCGGTGTCGCTGTCTTTGGTCGCCAGCGATAAGCTTTGGTAGCAAGCAAAGTCAAACGTATGCGATGATTGCGCTGAACTACAGTAAATGGTATCGTAAAAGGAAGGAATGCCCAGCCTGTCTCGCAATGCAATATTAACGCTTGGGGGCTTGCTAGGTAGTATACCTGCACCCAAACCCAAGCAAGACACACACCATACTCGCAAGGTGTTGGCCGTCCATCGGCGCCGAGGGGTCGATGCCGGGGGATTGTGAACGTGCTGATACGTACTTAAGTGAATACAGTAGGTGCGCCTTTTTCATATGGGTGCCTGTTTCTAGCGCGGTGGCCGATTGTGAGCGGTGATCTTCGAACATCCGTGGTTGCCCTTTCTACTATTCCAGCATCCAACCGCTACCACCACCATGTCCTTTGCGTGCTGCTGCGCCGGGAAGCTCGAGGCCGACGCTACCTTTGACGACGCGGCCAAGCCGTACGCCCGCGGGCCGTCGCCGCAGGTCACGCGCGGCGTGGCCATCGTGCCCACGCCGCTCAACGCGCGCTCCAAACCGTCGTTCTTCAAGCCCCGCGCGCGCGAGTGGAATCTCGACGCTGCGATTGCGTCGTGCAAGGCCCAAGTCGCGGCCATCGCCGCCGAGTGCTACGCTGCCAACCGCCACTTCCGCGACGCCGCGTTCGACGTGAGCGGCAGCGAGGACGACTGCCTCAGCTCGCTCGCCGAGGCGTGGGACCGCGTGACGCCGGGCGGCAGCCTTCGCGTCCGCAATATCTTTACGTCGCCCGTCTTTTGCGACAATGGCTACGACGCCAGCGACATCCAAGACGGCTACGCGTCGTGGTTCTTGGCGGCTGTCGCGTCCGCGTGTGCGATGCCGGGCCTTCTCGCGCGGGTGTGTGTCGCCCGCGACGAGACGGTGGGTGTCTATGGCTTTATCTTCTTCAAGGACGGCGAGTGGGTCCCCGTGCTGATTGATGACCAGCTTTTCGTGACCGAGACGGACTTTGACCACGCCTACCTTGGCGGAATCGCCATGACCAAGGAGACTTTCAACGCGACGCTTCGGTCCGGCTCGTCGAGTCTCAGCTTTGCCAAAGCAGCGTCGCCCAACGAAACGTGGCTGCCGCTGCTGGAGAAGGCGTATGCCAAGCTGCATGGCGACTACAAGTCGATCGAAGTCGGACTGACGGGCGAAGCGCTCGAAGATCTCACGGGCGGCATCACGACGCGCACGTTTTTGAAAGACGTGGCGGACCATGACGCGCTGTGGCAATGCGATCTCGTTGGTCATCTCCACGTCGACGCGCTCTTTGCCGCGTCAATCGAGACCAAGCACTCGTACCCCGAGATGGCCTCGAGCAATGGCTTGCTGCACTTGCATCCATACGCAGTGCTGCGCGCGGTCGAGGTCGGCGGCCACCGACTTGTCCAGCTGCGCAATCCGCAGAAAGGCCATGAATGGACCGGCGACTGGTCCGATAGCTCGGAGCTCTGGACCACTGAGATGATTGACGCGCTGGGCCACAGCGGCGGCGACGACGGCTGCTTCTGGATGGCGTGGACGGACTTTTTGGACGAGTTTACCCATCTCGAACGGACGTGGATCGATGATGCGGCCACGTCCCTCGCCGTGCACCCAAGTCCGTGGGTGGTCCTGCGCGCCGGGTGGCCCGCTGCGTGGCAGCCGTCGGTGTTTACCTTTGACGGCCCGGACGTGCTCTCGCGGGTCACGTTGGTGCTCCAGCAAGCCGACACGCGCCGCTGCATCGGTCTCGAAGGGAGCTATACGTTTGGCCTGCGCTGCGCCGTGTACCGCAGCCCGGACGCCAAGACCAAAAAGCGAGTTTTGGTCGGCCAGTATACGCAAAACGCCTTCCATCGCAGCGCAAGCCTCCAAGTCGTGCTCCGCCCGGGTCTGTACGAGCTCGATGTGATGGTTGTCCGCACCGCCTCGGGGCGTGCGTCGATCGCGGACGTCGTTGCCGAGATTGGGGCGTCGCGTCCCGAGAAGCTCCGACAGCGCTGTGAAGCTGTCGATGCGAGCCGCGCCCGCGCCAAGAGCGACGTCAACGTGCTCGCAATGGCGGCGGCAACGCAGCACACCGCGTACGAGCGTGCGCGCGCGACAGGCAGCACGGACGATGATGGCAGCCTCGAAGGGTCCGTCGTTGTCGGCCTCCGCCTCTTGTCCAAAGCCGTTTAAACTAGCATTCTAGCATTGTGTATGGAAAAAGAGATATGCTCTTGTTTGATGTCGAACACGGTTTAACGTTGAGCGACCGATGGACTGGCAAAGGCGACGCGCTGGAATGCCATGGTGCCCTTGTGACGACGACGCCCAACTCTGCTACGTCCAGTCGCTAGCTTATGGCAACAAACTCTGGCGCCTCCGATGCGCCACCTCGCCGCGCGTTCCTCCGTCGGTGGCGCCTCTCAACACCATCATTCATGCAAACACAGAATGATGGTACATGACGTTGCACTGCTGCACTGCATCAGCACGTGGGTGCGATCGTTTGTTTGTGGCGAGTCGGCGTTGGACGACGCATAGCAAAGGATTGTCGTACGATCTGGCTGCTGTGCAGATCGTCGTTGCAGCGCAGAGGCACCGCGTCTCCCAAGCGAAGCAAATGGCTACATGGTACCCGTCGCTTGGCACTGCGCCCTCTCGCGCGCCACCTCCACGGACCAACGGTGATAAAGTTGCATTAGGAGCGGCAGTCTCCTCTACATAGCACTGGCGGTCGTGTGGAGCTCCAAGGCTGCACTTTTCAAGCTATGGCAATTCCGGACCGACGCCCCGTGCTCCCATCGTGGGCGCTTTGATAGAGCAAAGATGACGCAATGTGTGGGGTTGCATCTCGTTGTGCTTGCTGCGTGCTCGAGCCAACCTGCCAGCTGCTGCACTCGTTTAGGTGCGACGTCCGCGACCAAACCAAATAGAGCACCCATTTAAAGACTTTGGTGCGCTTTCTACCTGGCACCACGCGCGACGATGTTCACTTTTCCTTTTGCCTCGTCCGAGACAACACTCTTTTGCCATGCCTGCCAAGACCAAGAGCCGCGCCAAGGCGACGTCGGTCACCAAGCCGTCGTTGCTCGCGACCGAGAGCCTTGCGACCGCCATTGCGCGCTGCAAGGAAGAGGTCGCCGAGATCGCGGCCGAGTGCCGTGCCAACAACCGCGTCTTCCGCGACATTGAGTTTGACATTGCTGGCAATGAGTACGACTGCCTCAGCTCGCTCACCGACCTCTGGGACTCGACGACGCCCGGTGGTGCCCTCCGTGTGCGCCAGATCTTCAAGGACCCGATCTTCTGCGACGATGGCTTTGACGCTGGTGACATTCAGCAGGGCACGACCGGCAACTGCTGGTTCCTTGCGGCGCTTGCGTCCGTGTGCTGGGTGCCGCGTGTCATTGAGAACATTTGTGTTGCCCGCGACGAGAAGGTCGGTGTCTACGGCTTCATCTTCTTCAAGGACGGTGAGTGGCAGCATGTCATCATCGACGACCAGCTCTACGTCACCCACACCGACTTTGATCACGCGTACGAGTCGTACGTCATTAGCGACAAGGCCAAGTACAAGGAGCTACTGCGCACGGGGTCGCAAGCCCTCTTCTTTGGCAAGTCGTCGTCGGCGCGGGAGACGTGGCTGCCGCTGTTGGAGAAGGCGTACACCAAGCTCCATGGCGACTACAAGTCGGTTGAAGGCGGTATGACGGGCGAGGGCATCGAGGACCTCACGGGCGGTGTCACCACGACGATTTTGACGACCGACATCTTGGACTACGACCGGTTTTGGGTCGAAGAATTCTCCCGCACGAACGTCGACACGCTCTTCTCGGCGGCAGTCATCAAGAAGTACTCGGGCTTGGAGTCGCGCTCCGACAACGGTCTGGTGCATCTGCACGCGTACTCGATCCTCAAGGCCGTTGAAGTCCAGGGTACGCGCTTCCTCATGATCCGCAACCCGTGGGGCCAGCACGAGTGGAACGGCCGCTGGTCGGACGGCTCGAAGGAGTGGACGCCCGAGTGGATGGCCGCGCTCGACCACAAGTTTGGTGACGACGGCGCGTTCTGGATGCAGTACGAAGACTTCATCGAAGAGTTTACCGAGATCGAGCAGACGCGCCTCTACGACGCCAACTGGTTTGTCAACCAAGAGTGGATCGAGTACCGGTCGGCGTGGCCGGCCGCGTGGGACCAAGGTCTCTTCCAGTTCTCGCTCTCGACCGACGGGCCGGCCAATGTCGTGCTTGCGAAGGCCGACGAGCGCTACTTCCACGGCCTCGAAGGTCCGTACGACTTTGGCTTGCGCCTCGCCGTCTACCGCCGCAGCGACGACGAGAGCCGGTCGTTTGTCGGTCATTTCGTGCAAAACTGCTACAACCGCAGCATCAGCTTGGAGTTCAAGTCGCTCGAAGCCGGTGTCTACGACGTCGACGTCATGGTTGTGCGCCGTGGCCGTGGCCAGCAAGGCGCTGAAGACGTCATCTCGGACGTCGGCAACGCCCGTCCGGACAAGCTGCTTCAGATCTGCAAGAACTTCAACGCGAGCCGCGTCCAGGCTGTCAACCTCCATGGCGAGTACGACATTCTCGACAAGGCCAAGGAGACGCAGTCGACCGAGTTCGAGCTCGCGGCCAACCGCGCACGGAAGGAAAAACTGTTGGAGCTCGAGGCGCAAGCCGAGGAGCCGGAGGACGAAGAGACGCCCAACGACGACGAAGACGACAACGGCGACGACAACGATGAAGAGGCCCAGGAAGAGGAAGACGAAGAGGAAGAAGAGGCCGCTGACGAGCCCATCGAGGGCGATGCGCTCAGCGGCGCCGTTGTGCTTGGCCTCCGCGTCTACACCAAGGACGCCCACGCCACGGTGACGGCCGTCCTCAAGGCCGATTAATAGTTTTGTAAACATTATATCGACGAGTATCTTGTAATTGTGTACAGTTCTATTCTTTTGCACAGCTAGAGGTGTGGTGGCACCCGACACGATGGGTATCGTACATGCAACTGCATGCTTCGGAAGCGTAATGAGGACAAGGCTTGGTCGTGCCGAGTTGCTATGTGTGTGATAACCACAGCGGTCGTCGTCGTCACACGGCTCCTGCTGCTGCCACGTGTCCGTTCCGAGGCGCGGTCCGTGTACACCACGGACGATCCACATGTCTTGTTTAAAGAATGCGAAGGTTTCTAGTATTTTGTGGCTTATTTTACAGTGAGATTAACTAACAGTAGTGGATGTTGAGCCAATGCGGCGCGTCCAAGGCCATCGGGGGGGTCGCCTCGAAGAAGTATTCTTCGTCCGTGATGATCTCGTACTCGAGATCGTCATCGAACTCCACATACTCGGGCGCCGTGCTAGTGAGGCTCTTGTTCGACGCCGCACTTGAGTCGTAGGCGACATCAACCGTTCCTGGTGACTGCTCCATGGCCGACACTTGGTTATTGCTCTCGCCCGCAGTAGCACCCGGCTCGTTTCTGGTTTCGAAATCTTCGTGCGTCTCGCGCAATGAGGCGGGCAATGGCGCCGGCTCGCTGACGTCGTAGTCGTTTGCGAGCATGCCTGCCGACGCTTTGCGCTCGCTCGCGTCCTCACTAAGCGTCGTCTCGGTCACGACAGTCACCGTGACACTGCTCGCAGGCGATGGCTCTTCGCAGTCGCTCGTCGCTTCGTCGTTGCCGATCGTCAGCAACGGTTGTACCTCGAGGTGGCCCACAACAACGGTCTCATGCGTACCACTCATTTCACTGACCGTGTCTGCCGGTGTCGCACCGTCTTCGAGCAAATCGTCCCCCCGAAGCTCGGAGGTGACGTCGCCACTTTGATCCATTGACGTAGCGCTTGCAGCTTGAGCGGCTGCACCAAAGCGCAGGGCCATATCGCTCTGCGTCAAGTAGTGCAGACCCGAGGGCACGGCGTGCGAGCGCAAGCGATGCACAAGATCTGCGACGCCGGTCTCGCTCATCTGTAGGCGAGCGAGCTCAGCCTGGATGCCGACGTCGAGCGCCGTCACCGTGTCCTGACACGGTGCAGCACCGAGAATGAGAAAAGGCTGTAGCTGCCAGTGCGCCATCGACCACTGCGCGATGGCGGCTCGCAGAGCAGCGAGGAGGTCTCGGTAAGCGTCCAACGCATGAGTGACGAGAGCGGCGAGCATGCGGGAAGCGACGTCGGAGTCGCTCGCGTCGAGAAGCGCCCTCGTGAACGACTTTGACACGTGGTACAAGTGGTGCATGGCTAGACGGGCCTTGAACTGGCTCTGGCGACCCTCGTGGATGCTCTTTTGAAGGTCGGCGCTCTTTCGAAGGTCGCCGAGCCGCGGAGTCTGCGCGGTGGACGCAAACTCGGACAGCACTTGGGGCCCGGGGACCTTCAGCATGGTGTCGTTGCACGTCGCGGCGTGACCCAGCTCCATGCCGACGCCCAAGAGATCGAGGATCTGGTCGACACCGTGCAAGCTGTGGGCAGCGTCTGCGCGGGCGTCGAGGTACACGTCAGCGCCAGTAAAGCAGACGGCATCCGTCGTCGCCGCGCTCGTGTGTGTGTCCAGGATTTTGCACACGGTAGCGTTGAGCCGCTCGGCGTGTGGCAACTGCATATTATTTGCGGGTCGTCGCGTTACGAGAAAAAATGCTAGTGCTCGCTCCTTCCAGCCACCATAGGACCACAACGTGCACTTGATACTACAGTTGATACTCTGCGCTGGAACCAGCTGGAACCGATTTGATACTTTCGCACTTGATAAATGGATAGGAATGGAAGCCTCTCAAGAGACATGCTCTGCAACATGAATCGACGAGCGTGGCGCCAAGATGTACAAATGTATGTAAATGCCAGCGGGAATATATCATTATTGACAATGTCGAAAATGGTTGTTTTACAAAATGTACAATGGGAAGGCTGTTTCCACGAAGTGGAAGAGGCAGCCCGCGCGAGGCCAACCGTTCCATAAGCCCAAGATATGAAAATCGGTACCAGGCGCAGAGCAAGCGAGCTCGAGCCATCCACGAATTTGTAGTATCAGTCAAAAGCTAACCCGCCTCGCCCACCTCTGGCATGGCGGACATGGTTGTTGCTCCCAAGTAGCTCGGTCTTGGTAGAGTAATAGAAAATGGTTGTTTTACAAATTATACTATGGGACAAACCAGTATCGGTACTATATTCACGGCGGATATTGAAGCACATTATTGTTAATCGAAATAGTCTGGTACAACCTGAACCGAGTGCGTGGTGGCGCTAAGGGATCCGTCGCGGCACTTCTTGCAGGTGGCCAAGAGGCGGTGCATGGATGCCTCCATCGATGTCAGAAACCGCTCGTCCATTTGCTCCCACGACGCTGGGTAGAGTTGCTGCATATCGAGCTCCTGGTGGACCTTCTTCGACGCCAAGGTCGACATACCCATTTTCAGTAGCTCGATGACGTCCTCCATTCGTTTGTCGAGGCAGCGCAGGTGATATTGGGGCCCCTCCTCGTTGTTGATCACTTCATAGTCTTCAGCGTCCGTTGGCTCCAAGCACTCGAGTCGCTGTACACCTGACGACGCTACTGAAGCTGGCAGAAGACGGTTGAGATCTCGGCGCGCTGCCGTGAGCAAGCTACCGGTGGTCGCGATCGACGCGACAGCATCCGTGAGGATCGTGCGTCCCTCTGTAAAGACGGCCGAGACGAGCACTTGGCCGTCATTAGGCTTGTGGGACTCGCGCAAGTCGAGAAATCCTTGTAGAAACGCACACGTCTCGTCGCACCACTGCACAATGCACCGGAACGCTCGTTCGTGGGCGTCGCTCGCGTCCAGTAAGGTCGTCGTCAGTCGCCCGACGATCGCCGCATCGCTTGGTGGAAATACGTCGATGCAGTAGTCCAAAATGACGAGTGACGCACGCACAAACTGCGGCGGGCGCGTCGGACCGTCAATCTCGGTCAAATACACCTCCAAGCAGTCCGCCAGCAAGTCGAGGGTCGCAGCGACAGGGCCCATGTGCTCGGCGGGTTTCGTGTGCCCGGCGGGTTTGCGACTACCTTCAGACGCGCTGGCTCGCTGCTTGTCTCGGTACGGGGCCGTGAGCTCATCGTACATGGTCCACGGATGGAAGCCACTGGGATCTATCCCGTCCTGGCCTTCGTTTGACGTCGACTGGGCCAATGCCGTATGGAAGCTGGAGACGGTAAAGACTGCAACAAAAGCAGCGCCGATGGCGTAGGGTGCGGCCATGACGAAGCGGGTGATGCCAGGTAATTGAAAAGTGATGTATACCTTAGGACAGCCCTTGGCACTTGATAGAAAACCGCACCGCCGCTTGATAATTTTGAATGTTTGCCATAATCCGGATTCCGGATACACCGATACGCCAGATAATGTATGGTATCCGGCACCTCTGTTTTTTAATAGATACGAAAATGCATTCCAGGAGGTTCGACAGCCGCGGTCAGCATGACGAGCTTCGCCGACGTCTTCTGCCCGTCGCTGCCGGCGGCGGCTCTCATGGCCGAGTACCAAGACGGTCTCTTCTTGGACGTCCGCGCGTACATGGAGGACTTCCGGCGTCATGTCCGTGAGCACACGACGACCAAGCCGCAAGGCTACGAGGTGACCATCTACCCGAGCCGGCTCCACGATGGGCCTCCTCGCATTTGCGCAGCAGCTGCACGACGATGGGCATGCGTGCACCTTTTTAGCAATGGATCGCGCGGCCATGAACGGGTTTCTGGACGTCGTCCGCTTCGTGCACGCGCATCGCAGCGAGGGCTGCTCCCGCTCCGGCATGGTCCTCGCCGCGGCCAACGGGCACATGGGCGTGGCGCTGTAATACTCACGCAACCGAGGCGGCCAAGTTTATGAGCGTCGCACGCGGCCGCGACATGCTCCAGAGCCAGCACCTTTGCTCGAAACGGCGCTGCTCGGTGCGCGCGCTCGCGACCGCTGCGACGCACGGCGACGGCAAAGCGCTCCAGTGGCTTCTCGCCGAGTATCCGTTGTTCGGGTCCATCTTGACGGCGCGCGGCGACGGCTTCCAGTGCCTCCTGGCGGCCGCCTGCGGCGAGCATTGTCGTGTATGAGACTGCACCGGTACACCGGGGCAGGTCGAATCTTCAACGACTGGTTGTATCTTGATAAATGTAATTATACAAGGGAAGGTGGTTTTCAAGTGACGACTGGGAAAGCCCTCGGGCCTCACTTCAGATTCGTACACTCGGGCTTTCCACCTGCCCGCACGCTATTTGCGCTGCAACGTCTGTGTGCTGTCTTTGCCTCGCCTGGTCAACCCTCTGCAAGCATCTACGACCTCTCTTACGTGCGCCTCTGCACGCACGACTCGCCGCCGCTGCCGCCGACCAACACGCTTGGGCCTATGCACATGGCCATGGTGCACGGCCATCTGGAGATCCACGACTACCTCGAAATTTGCCAAAAGTCGACATGGAGCCGCGTCCTCCCCGGACACGTTCAAGCGCGCATCTGCGCCCACAAGCGGTCGCCGTTCATTGTATCCTACCTCTGCCACCGCGCTGTCGTGCTCGACGGCGCATGGGCCACCGCCGCGTGCGGCTACAGTCAACTCTGGGCCAAGGCCGAGTCTGTCGTCGCCAAAGCCAGCTCGCCGATGGCCATGCAGTGGCTCGTGCATGCCGCCGCCTTGCGCGGCAGCCGAGACGTCGTGGCGACCTTGCGTCAGTACTCAAGCCAGTTGTATCCCTCGACCGCCGAAGACATTGTCGACTGCGCGTACCTTCCGGACGTCATGCGCTACTTATATGCCACGAACCCGGCATCTTTTACTGCGATCGCCCTCGAGTCTGCCGTGCGGCGGTGTCGCCAACATTTGGTTTGTGCGCTTCCTCCTCGGCCATGGCGTCGGACGTGTGCGTGATGCGTTTCCCCAGACGATCCGCCATCAGGACACTGCCGGGTTTGCGCGGCTCTGGTCTTTCTGCGCGTCGGGCGACGGCGTCGACGACCTCTTGTACCTTGCGACGCTGGCGTACAGCGTCGTGGACCGCCCGAACCGCGTCATGGCGACGCTCTGGCTCGAGACCTTTATCGCCACATTCAATGCGAGCGAGACACCGACGTACCTCGACCCGCGCTTTGTCCAGTTTCTGACCGAGAACCCGTCGACGGCTACGTTCTTACAGGACCTGCGCGACGAAGGCTCCGCCCGTCCAACTGGCTCGTGCCGCGCATTCTCCGCCGGGACGTCGCGGCGTATCTCCAGCACATTCTGACGACGTGGAAGCAACGCGTGCTGGAAGCTAACCCACGAAACCCGCCGCAAGAGAGCTCGTATCGCGCGCCAATCCGGTGGCGACGCCTTCGACGGCCCTTGTGGTAGCTACTGCAGCAAGCACAAGGCGCGTTGGTCGATGCCACCGGGCGTGGCAGTGCTCGGGTTTGACGAGCAACTCATATAGTGTCCACTACCACACGCCAATGTACCACTATCTATTTGAGCTCAACTCGAGTGGTCGCGTCGAGTGGTCGCGTTCTGGGTGGCGGCAGTTTGCTTGTTGACGTGCATTATCCGGAGCACGCAGTGTATCCGGATTTAAATCCGGATGCCCATTTGATATCCGGACAGAAAGGCCATTTGATCAAATGGCCAACTCGCGCTACGAGTACGTGCGCCAGTTTGAGCTGCCGGACCCAGTCCTGCGCAACACGTGGATCGTCGTGCGCGTCGATGGCAAAGGCTTCCACAAGTAAGAAGTGGTCTATTCAGTCGATGCATGCACACATTGTCTATCGTGGTGTCTGTAGGTTTACGGACGCCCACGGCTATGCCAAGCCCAACGACCTCCGTGGCCTGCACCTCATGAACAAGGTTCGCTTGGTCTACATAGCACGCGAATGACCACGTCGCGTAGGCAGCAACCTGCGTGTGCCACGAGTTTGGCGACATTGTCGTCGCGTACGGCCAGAGCGACGAGTACAGCTTTGTGCTTGCGGTAGACTGCCTGGTCGCGTGCGTCGCTCACACGCCTGAGTAGAAGAGCAGCAGCTTGTACAGCCGCCGGTCGACCAAGCTCGCATCGACGTTTGTCTCGCTCTTTACGTCGTCCTTTGTCTACTACTGGTCGGCCTTCTTTGGCGACGTGCCGCTGCAGTACCCGCCGGCGTTTGACTCGCGCGTCGTCTGCTACCCGTCCTCCAAGGTACATTTCTTACTAGGATATCCAAAAAGAACTATAGTCGATATGGTGCTAGAACTTGCGCGACTATCTCGCGTGGCGTCAAGTGGACTGCCACATCAACAACATGTACAACACGTGCTTTTGGCTGCTGGTGCAGAGCGGTGAGTCTTGAGTTGCTATTGTGATCGTCGTCGCTCACGCGATGCGCAGGCGAGACCAAGCAAGCAGCGGAAGCGACGCTGTGCAAGACGCTCGCCAAAGACAAGCAAGAGCTACTCTTCTCTCGCTTCCAGCTCAACTACAACGACGTCGAGTCGATCTACAAGCGAGGCTCGTTGGTGCTGCGCCAAGACAAGACGCTCGTCGTTCTTCACGAAGACGTGGTCAAAGACGGCTTTTGGGCTGCACGTCCTGGCTTCCTCACCGATTAGCGTAGCCCGTCAACTCGACATGTCGCACCACCAAACCACAACCAGCGGCATATGAGTGTCGACAACAACTTCGTACGTAGATGCAAGATGCATGAGGCGGTTAGGCTCGACCGACGCAGTTGGCGTAAAAGACGGGGGTCGCGACCCAGTCGGCAAAGATTGACTCGATGCCCACGTCCTGCGTAAGCACATGGAGTGTCTCGAGCATGTCGCCTTCGCGCGCAATTGCACTCTGAATGGTCCGGTAGTACCACCCGCCGCGGGTCTCGGCGAGGATACCGGCGCGGTCCAAGCTCCACGCTACGATGCGGAGACCGGCGGCTTTGACGTGCTGTGCGTACAAGGACGGCACGACGCGACCATCCTCGCCGTTCGTCGTCAGAAGTGCCCAGATGGGCGGCGCCACAATGTTGATGCCGGCCGCCTTGTAGCCTACGAGCTGGTCGTGTGACGGCAGCTCGTCGACGGTGTTGGCATCGTCGAGATAGACTGCGTTGGCGCCAAATGCCGGGTGCGCGCTGAGCCAGTAGACAATGTCGTCGTACGCGAATGCTTGAGGAAACACGTGGGACGGCGGAATGCTGGCGTCAATGTACTCCTGGACAATCTTGTCGGCAAAGTCGTGGCGCGAGAAGCCGTGGAACGGCATTGAGACGCTCGGCTCTTTGAGCTCGGGCGTCATCTGCACGCCATGGGCCGAGAAGAGCGCAATGCTCTCAGCATGCGTCATGAGCGTCCCGCTGGTCGGCCCTGCGTACAGATCTGTGCGCCAGGTTGGCGTCCCCGCCACGTACTCGTCGACGGTCGTCGCTGTTGGGTTGAAGCCGTCCATTTTGCCGCGGAGCGTCTTGAACTCGGCGAGCGTAATGTCGGTCGTCCGACATTCGGCGGTGGCGGTCTCGCCGGTCGTGGGGTTGTACGGCGTGAACGGGCGATGGCACTTGGCGGCGAGTGGCGTGAGCAAGATGTTGGTCGTCGTGTGCAGGTCGCTCATGCTGTGGCGACAGACGAGGCCGTGGTCGCGCGTGAACGCGACATCGCACTCGACGCGGCCGGCGCCCATGCGGATGGCCGCGAGGTACGACTCCCGCGTGTGCTCTGGGAACTGGAGGCATGCGCCACGGTGGCCAATGGCAAACGACGTCCGATGTACGTCCATGGGGCCCTCGGCGCAGGCGCGCAGCTTCGCTTGGAGCGGCGACGCGGCCATGTCCTCGACGAGAAAGTACGGCCGAACACCGAGCTCGACGCGGGCAGGCGCGGGCCCGCGCACATGATGCATGGCGGCGAGCTGCTGCCACGGCGACGCGACCGCCGACCAGACCGCGTACACGGACGCGCCCACGGAAGCGAGGACCATGGCTCGGGAAGGCGATGAAATGGCAAGCGACCCATAACCGACCACTTTGGAATCTTGATTTGGATCGAAATAGTGTGTGATTGCAGTCTGAAAACACGCAACTTGAAACTTCAAGTGCAAACTGGCTATCTAGGCAGGTCCGAGAGGCTCTTCTTCTAGTATGCAGGCCCCTCCAAGGACGCGGACGCAAGTCGACTAGTATATGAGTACTGGACGAGCCACCGTAGAAGCTCTACGGCGTGGCACTGTGGTCGTACGCTGTCAGGCACAAGTCGTCGAATTGCGAGCGACTGGTGGGACAATGTTGATACCTGCGGATCGGGTGATACCAACGAGCCAAGCGTACAGTAATCTCGTGGCGAAGCTTCTTCCAGCCTCTGCAAAAGCTTCCTCCAGCCTCTGCAAAGCTTCTTCCAGCCTCTGCTGTCATTTGATTCGGCCAGGCACCGTGCAAGGACGGTTGTGCCAACACCATCCATGAGATCGAGGCACCGATTATGGTCGCCTTGTCGCATGGTCTAATCGATCGTGGCACTTGGCACGTTCTTCTGGTAGAAGACTGTAGGAATGCAAGGCGGATACATATCCAAATCCATCGCAACCCTACGCGCCACCGCAGCACGGGCATTTCGATGATGCACCGAGCGCATGCAAGGGTAATCGCGCCAGTTCAAGCGACTGAGCAATCCACAAAGATATTCATTTTCCATTTACCAGCACGATGACCACAACAGCTACCTACCACAGCGTGGTTGATGACCCGCACTGCGTCGTCCGAGAGTCGCCCCCGATCTCGTGGAAGGCCGAACTCAAGCACCTCTTGTCGTTGGCGGGACCCATGGTACTACCGTCCTACTACATGCACTTGTGGCTCATGTTGGCACAATCTAGATCTTTGCCCTCTTTATGGAGTCGCTCCATAACACCATTAGCATCGTGCTTGTCGGGCAGATCGACTCGCCCCTTGCCACCGACTATGTTGGCGCTGCGACCATGGCGAGTATGTTTGCTACGATCACGTCCTTCTCGGTGGGCATTGGGCTTCCGTCGGCCCTCGACACCCTCTGTACGCAAGCCCACGGCGCTGGTAACACCAAGCAGTTTGGTGTCTACTTTCAAAGCGCTCATCTCGGCATGGCTCTGGTAACGTCATCCCTTCATTCACCTCGCTCATACTACTACCTGTAGGTTCTCCTTCCCGTCGTGCTCATCAACTGGTTCTCGGGGGATATCTTGACGGCCATGGGCCAAGACGCCGAGCTCTCGGCGCTCGCGGGCACCTTCATTCGCATTCTCTGCGCCGGTCTGCCCTTCTACTTTGTCTACCAGCTCGTGCGCCGGTTCCTCCAAGCGTACGATATTGTTTACCCGATGACAGTCGTCGCGCTCTTGAGCAATGGTGTGCACATTGGCCTTGGCTACTACCTCTGCTACCACACGTCGCTCGGCTTCAACGGTGCGGCCATCGCACGCTGCGTGAGCTACGTGGTGCTGCCTCTGTTGATGCTGCCGTACTTTGTGTGGCGGCCGATTCACCGCGAGTGGGGCTTGCACTGGAACAAGGCGGTCGCGGTTGGGAACCTCCGCGAGTTTTTTCGGTTTGGTGTTCCCGGCCTGCTCATGGTCATGATGGAGTACACGGCGTTTGAGATTCTGACGCTCATGGCGGGTTGGCTGCCCAATCACAAGATTATGATTGGCGCCAACTCGGTACGACAGATTCTCTTGTGTCACGTGGTTTTCACTGCGATTAGGTGCTCATCAACCTCATCACGCTCTTCTACATGGTCTACCTCGGCATTTCCTTCTCGGGGACGATCCGCATTGGCAACTTGCTGGGCGCCAACAAGCCCGACCAAGCCCGGCGCGTCGCCAAGATGGCGCTCTGTCTCAGTGCATCGTGCTCGATCGTCACGGGCGGTACGATGCTCCTCGCGCGGCACGAGCTCCCCAAGCTTTTTCTGAGCGACCCCGAAGTGATTGCGTACGTTGCTGTCTCGGCGATGCTGGATGACTGATATATTGATACTAGGGCGGCGTCCGAGGCCATTCTATGCATCATCGTGCTGCACGTCTTTGACACGCTCAACGCGGTCAACCAAGGCATCTTCCGCGGCATCGCCAAGCCCGTGATCGCGACGGTGGTCAACGCAGCAACGTACTATCCTATTGGCATTTCGCTCGCAGCGGCCTTTGGCTTTGGCTTGCACTGGAACGTCAACGGTCTCTTCATCGGCTTTACGACTGGAGCGATGACAGCGTGTGGTCTCTACGTGTGGCAGCTGCGCAAGATCGATTGGGACGCCGCAGCTGCCGACGCGATTGCGCGCAGCTCGCCGAGTCTAACCCACGTCGTAGCCTAACTCGTAGAATGATTTTTGTTTATTCAAATGTTACCTTTTTCTAAAGTGATATCATGCCCATTATAACGGCGAATAACTGACCAATTCAACATGGTGACAGCGCTGCCGCCACTCCCACAGCGAAAGCCGCGACAGGCGTCGGTGGCTCCTACGCACCTACTTCTGCCTCGAACCAGCCGCGCCATGTCACCCGAGTCCGAACGAACCACGCGGCGACCCCTCGGGCTGCTCAAGAAGCCTCGTCCCAAGCCGCTGCCGCAGCTCTCGACGATGGACCAGCGCATCCTCGTCCTCTTCAACTCGAAGCTCCAGCGCATGAACCAAGAGCTCTATCGGCTCCAGTCGACGCACACCGCAAGGCCGCCAGCCGAGATGCACCACGCCGCGATCGTCCTGCAGCGAGTCTACCGCGGCCACCGAGACCGGACGCTCGTATTTGCCTTCTTTGGCCCGCGCAACCAGCAAAAAGCGCTCTTGATTCAGCGCATCTACCGTGGTCACAGGGGCCGTTGCCGCGCCAAAGCCGCGTGGGCGACCTTTTGGTTTTTGCATGCTCAGCGCCTACAAGCGTGGATACGAGGCCTCTTCGCTCGGTACTAGTTCGTATCCTAGTCTTTGTTTATAAAGTCGTGCCTAGCGACTATGTCGAGCACCTCCAACTCTGTCGAATCGTGGCGGCTGCCGCACGGATTCAGCGGGTGTACCGCGGGTACGGCGGCCGTTGCATCGTACACCGAGTGCGGCACGCGTATCACACGACATGTGTCATCGAACTGCAGCGCGTCTACCGCGGCCATCGAGGTAGCGTCATACCTATCTACCAAATCAACAATCCAAATCCATGGTCTATCCGATGATGTAGGACGACGTATTGTGGCCACGATTCGGTTTGAGAACGCCAAAAATGCCCGTGCGATCGCGCTCGCCAGTGCACTGCACAACGTACGTCGACTTGGATACCGCATACCCGTTTGGATTCTTGGATAGTATATTGATTTCTCCTTCATGTAGATCTCGACGCGGTGCAGCGGCTGCACGTACCCCCAGATGACACACCCGTCGTTGCTCATGTGTCTCTTTGCGCGCCTCCTCGGGCTCTTTGATTTGCGCGGCGCCAAAGTACTCTGCTTGGACGGCTTCCAGCGCTTTCCCACCGAGCCGCTGTACCTCTTTGCGTACAGTCTTGTCTTGCAGCTGCAAGGAGGCAGTCTCGAGGTCGCTATGGTTTACTTGAACAAGGCTAAGGCACTCGGGCTCAGTGACGCGCACCGCCAATACGTAGGATCATCCTTCGTCGTACCGAACCTCGTATCTTGTCTACTAGTGCGAAACAAAGTTCTTTTACGCGGCGCTGCAGTGGCGGCCGGGCGACGCGACCATTTGCCTTGCATTTGCGATCGCGCTCCAGTGCTTTGGGCTCGTCCGGCGCGCCGACGCCTTGTACAAGCAAGCGCTCGCAGGCAACGTCCACGAGTATAACATTCGACGGTATCTTGCGCGACGCGCGTTCAGCGACACCATTTTACTCAACTGGAAGCGGTACCTCTGTGTGTTTAAACTGCCGCTCAACTTGCGCGGTCGGCTCGTGCACAAGTCGTTTCTTGTGATGGGCAGCGAGCGCATGGGCGTCACAGTGTTCCGTCACAACCACTATGCGGTGATTGCTCCCGATGGCGGCCACCGCTGCAATAGCATCTACCTCGCCGACGACGAGATTGTCTACTTGGTCAAGCAAGTCAGTGACGACGCGGGTCGCGACACCGACACGCCGCCAAGTGCCAAAGGTTTCTCGTGCTTGGCGGCTGTATCAGGTCGAGAGATGCACTACATGGTATAGGACATCGCAAGACGCTTCTGGCGCTGCAACGGCGCCGGACGGGCGCCGTCGTCTCGATGAAGGAGGCGGCGGGCAACCACGACCTCAAGAGCAATGTCCGACTGTCGATCGACCACGCCGAGCGCATCTTGGCGCTGGTGGTATTCCTTCCTCTCGCGGCGCCTTCGAGCGCCAACGAGCTCTTGATGGTCATCCCCGCGCTCCTTCGCTGGCGCGAGCACCAAGCGCGCGTGCTCCAGCAGTACGAGTCGCTCGTGACCATCCAGCGGGTCTTTCGCGGGTACCTCGTCCGCTTCGAAGACGCCCGTAGGCGACTCTTGGGTCATTTGACGCAGCGGCAAATGCATCGACTTGGGCTTACGCTACAGCAGCGCAAGTTTGTTCAAGAACGACGCGGAAACGCTGCAACACGTATCCAAGCCGCGTACCGCGGGTACGTTGCCTTTGTTCGAAGAGCGCACGATGACAACGCCGTAGGTACTGCACGCGTTGCGACATGCGAGCGCAAGGAGCGGCGGCAACGGTCATTCAGAGTATCTTGCGGCGCGAGCTGGCCAAGCGACGGGTTCTCGCGATCCGAGAGGGCAATTTGCACTTGTTTCCTGTGGGCCCACCAACCCGACCCCTGTCCTAACCCTATGGTACCTGGTAGGTTCATCGAGTCTTTCACCGGGGCCTCGAACTCGGCGGACGCAGCCTCTTGGTGGCCATCGACCAGGTAGGTGATAGTAGGATGACAAGATTGTCGATACCGTTGTAGTCGGGCCTCTCGTTTCGTTTTTATGGCACCGACTACAACTCGTGCACTGTCTTGACGGGCTGTTGCCCACGCAGCCGCACGATGCAGCTACTGCGCTTCGTTCGCTACGAGTACGCGACGGCGGCCATTGGGCAGCCTGTCTTTGTCCGCGGTAGCTTTGGTGCGATCGAGAGCGTCGATACAACCTCGATCGTCAACGACATCTACGTCGTCTGTCGGCTGGGCGAGCCGGCGGGGGGCACCTCGGTGCTCTCGCTTCAGGACGCTGCGATGGCGATTCGAACAGCGCAAGCGGCCAAGCGCTCTAAAAGCCCCAAGGCCAATGGCGCGCCGCCAGCACTCTACCCGCTGCCGGTAGATGTTCACGACATTCCTGGCATCGTCCGTGTCCTCGTCCCCTACTTGGCGCTCGTCCCAACCATGTCGGTGCCAACGCGGCAGCTCCAGCGCGAGACCAATACTGTCGCCATCGCTGTCGTCTTGCCCGCGAACGGCCCGCACCTTTTTCTTCCAAGCATTGTTCCACAAACGTATTCTATATTTGTCATAAAAGTGGAAGACATTATTGTACACGTAGCGTCCCGCGGCGACTACGAAATCGACTGCCGCCGATGCTGCTGCGTCAGAGTCCAAAACCATATGCCACCACGTTGCGCGTCGACTCGTCGCTGCAGACCCGTAGCCGGTACCGCCATGTGCCACGCACGCCGTATGTGACCGATGAAACCTTGGACCAAGTGACGGCGAGGCCGCTGTTTGAAGGCGCCGTGTACCGGCAGCAGTGCCCGCGCCATTTTCAAACGCTTGCGCGCTGCAAGTGTTTTCTCTTCCGCGTCGATAGCTCGGCGGCTTCGCACCTCGCGTCGTTGGACCTGGCATTGAGCCAAGGCCGGGGCGACGACGATCGCAGTCGACTCAATATTCTGACCAACGCGATCCCAAATCGCAGCGGCCGCATGTGGCTCCGCCCGAAAATACCGGCTCGAAAGGCGAGCGCGTCGTAGAAGCCACCACCATTGAGGCGCGGGTTGCCGCTCGGCGTGATCATGCGGTTCTTTCTTGCTTGGCGAATGAGCACTACGTGCATGGGTGATGGCAAGAGTATAGAACATAACTTATATGGCGGTGATGGCTGTTGTCTTTCACTTGACGTCGTCGCATTTGATTGGTTGGTGGATTGATATATTGATTAACGGAATCGACTCTATTGTCAATACGTGGTGGTTTGTACAGCTATACTACTTGCGCTTCTATCTAAACCGTTGAAAAGACAATGGTCAAAGGACGTTATTAGGAGCATGCTACATGCTATTCGTTTCCATTTATGCCACCTCGACCTTGTCGTCGGGACGAGCGAGAGGGGTCTCGACGTCGTTGCGACCCAGCGCAGTATCGGCGGCCAACCGCCAATCGATCTTTGCAAATTGATAGAGTTCGAGTCCGGTTGCCGTAAGAGTCCCGACGCCGAACGCACCGAGAACGCCGTTGATGCCCCAGTCAAGACCAAACCCAGCTAGAGCCGCGAGGGGCAGGCCCACGAGGTAGTACGCACCGGCGTTGACCACGGTCGCAATCTCGGGCTTGGCAATGCCTCAAAAAATGCCTTGACTCACGGCGTTTGCTGCGTCGAGGACGTGCTGAAGCGCGCCGTAGCAAATCGCTGTGGGGGCCGCCCTACTCGGTTGACAAAGATGAGACGTGACGCTTCGGATACACCACACCGTACGCGAGGATGGCTGGGTCGGACAAAAAGAGTGTCGGCACCTCATCTCGGGCTAGCACCATCGACCCGCCAGTGACAATCGAGCAACCGATGCAGAGCACGAGGGCTAGGGTCGCGGCGCGCCGAGCTTCGTCGGGGCGGTTCGCACCCAAGAGGTTTCCAACACGGATCGTCGCTGCAATCGAGATGCCCACATACACCATGTACAACATCAAACTGATGTTTTGTACAATCTAAACGTAAAATATGAAAAATCGAGCAACCGTCGAGAGAGCTACGTACCGAGTTGATGCCAATCATGACCTTGTGGTTGGGCAGCCAGCCCGCCATGAGCGTCAGAATCTCAAACGCTGTGTACTCCATCGTCGACAACAGCAGCCCGGGAACACCAAACCGAAAGAACTCGCGGAGGTTCCCAACCGCGACCGCCTTGTTCCAGTGCAAGCCCCACTCGCGGTGAATCGGCCGCCACACAAAGTACGGCAGCATCAACAGAGGCAGCACCACGTAGCTCACGCAGCGTGCGATGGCCGCGCCGTTAAAGCCAAGCGACGTGTGGTAACAGAGGTAGTAGCCAAGGCCAATGTGCACAACATTGCTCAAGAGCGCGACGACTGTCATCGGGTAAACAATATCGTACGCTTGGAGGAACCGGCGCACGAGCTGGTAGACAAAGTAGAAGGCAGACCGGCGCAGAGAATGCGAACGAAGGTGCCCGCGAGCGCCGAGAGCTCGGCGTCTTGGCCCATGGCCGTCAAGATATCCCCCGAGAACCAGTTGATGAGCACGACGGGAAGGAGAACCTACAGGTAGTAGTAGTGTGAGATAGGTGAATGAAGGGATGACGTTACCAGAGCCATGCCGAGATGAGCGCTTTGAAAGTAGACACCAAACTGCTTGGTGTTGCCGGCACCGTGGGCTTGCGCACAGAGGGTGTCGAGGGCCGACGCAAGGCCGAGGCTGACCGAGAAGGACGTGATCGTAGCAAACATACTCGCCATGGTCGCGGCGGCAACGTACTCAGTTGCATACGGGGAGTTTATGCGGCCGACAAGCACGTTGCTAATGGTGTGGTGGAGCGACTCCAAGAAGAACGCCAGCGTCTACATGTACCGATATACCCATCGTGGACGAGAGTGCATACCATGGGTGCTGCAAGAGCAATAAGATGCTTGAGCTCGGTCGACCACGACGGCGCGGGCTCGGTCAAGGCGTCGTCGACAGACGCATACGTCGTGCTGATCATGATGGTAATCTCAAAATGCAAAAGTTAGATTCGATTTAAATGAGGTCAGAGAGTTGGAATTTGCGCGTGGGTTGTCGGGTCGGCACTTTGCGAATGCGTGCAAGCGACGCGGACCATTGAATCGTTCGCGACGACAGCAGAGGGGGAAATAGTAGGTCAAAAACCATGACAAAAAAGGAGCTCTTGGCACTAGTACCTTGCTTAGCCAGCACTTTATAATGCCTCTAGTAGACTGGACGAGCGTTCATGCGTCAGTGGACCCATAATGTCTGCGCGGGCACCTCGGTGTGTGGACTCCACACGCCGAGGTTAACGCGTATGCTTGAAAACCCTTACAAGGGACACGCAAAATGATAGTATTCTGAAACATTAAACCATCTCCAGCTCCATCAGTTCGAACAACGAGTAGCACAAAGCTGCATCCAAGACCATCGCCGTGCTGACACGAGCACCGACCATTGCACGCGGTTGCTACTTTTGCTTTTAGAACATCCAAACATCGACAACAATCCAATTAATTGTATCCTTCAACAACATTGTTTTCGTAGAAAAGAAAATAGATTATGCGATCGAGGTAAATACGAGCATTTCGAAAAATTCGACTACGGACTGCAGCACGCTTCAACATCGTCGTCCAGAGGAACGCCCGATTTGCTCCGGAGGATGGCTTCGTTGGCCGCAGCGGCCCAGTTGATCTTGGACAACTGCCACATGTACATGCTGCACGCTGTGAAGGCGCCGAGGGTGAAGCCGCCAAAGAGGCCATTGACGTCCCAGTGCAGCGCGAACGCGCACACGGCGGCCATCGGGAGGCCAATGAGGTAGTAGGCTCCGGCATTCACCGCCGTCGCAATCACGGGCTTGGCAATGCCTCGAAAAATCCCTTGGTTGACAGCGTTGATGGCGTCAATCATGTGCAAGAGAATGACGTAGCAGAGCGCAACCGCGGCCCCCCTATTTGGTGCATGAGCCACCTGAGAGGCCTGCGAAAACGTACTCGACGACTTCCACGTCGTTGATAAAGACTTTGGGCAGCTCATGGCGCGCGAGCAGCATCGTACCACCAGTGACAAACGACAGCGAAGCGCAAACACCGATGGCCATTTTGGCGACGCGCCGCGCTTCGTCCGGCTTGTTGGCGCCGAGGTAGTTGCCAATGCGGATGGTCGCCGAGAAGGAGATGCCGAGGAAGACCATGTAGAAGATCAAAATGAGGTTGATGAGCACCTACACCAAATTATCTTGTGAAAATGACCAAGAATATGGCTTGTGCGTACCGAGTTGATGCCAATCATGACCTTGTGGTTGGGCAGCCAGCCCGCCATGAGTGTGAGCACTTCGAACGCTGTGTACTCCATCATGACCATGAGCAGGCCGGGAATCCCAAAGCGAAAGAATTCGCGGAGGTTCCCAACCGCGACCGCCTTGTTCCAGTGCAAGCCCCACTCGCGGTGAATCGGCCGCCACACAAAGTACGGCAGCATCAACAGAGGCAGCACCACGTAGCTCACGCAGCGTGCGATGGCCGCGCCGTTGAAGCCGAGCGACGTGTGGTAGCAGAGGTAGTAGCCAAGGCCAATGTGCACAACATTGCTCAAGAGCGCAATCATCGTCATCGGGTAGACGATGTCATGGGCTTGGAGGAACCGGCGCACGAGCTGGTAGACAAAGTAGAAGGGCAGACCGATCGTGATGATGCGAGTGAAGGTGCCGGCAAAGCCAGAAATCTCAGCGTCTTGGCCCATCGCGGTCAAGATATCCCCGGAGAACCAGTTGAGAATGACCACGGGAATGAACGTCTACAGCGCAATATTGTCACTTGATTCGCCAAGATGCACGAGAGGAATACCAGAGCCATGCCGAGATGGGCGCTTTGAAAGTAGACGCCAAACTGCTTGGTGTTGCCGGCGCCGTGGGCTTGCGTACAGAGGGTGTCGAGGGCCGACGCAAGGCCGAGACCCACAGAGAAGGACGTGATGGAAGTAAACATACTTGCCATCGTTGCGGCGTCAACGTACTCGGTGGCGAGCGGCGAGTCGATCTGCCCGACAAGGACGACGCTGATCGTGGCGTGGAGGGACTCCATAAAGAGGGTAAAAATCTACACCTCACATGAGTCTCTCGTTGGTTGCAGAGAAAGATAGCCGTAGTATCTATACCATGGGGCCAGCGAGAGACAAGAGGTGCTTGAGCTCGGCCTGCCACGTCGACGCATTCGACGACGACGACGACGACGTTGGCGTCGTGGCTTCCTGGACAGAGTCGACGACCGAATGGTACGTGTTGGTCATGGTGCAAGATGGAAACTGAACCAAGGCAAACGTGTATATAAGGAGAGTCGCTGTTGTTCCGGCCTTTACTTGGCGATTACACCCCGTGGCGGAAGGGCCATAATCCCAACGCCCAGCGACCGCTCGCTTGACCACCCGACTCGTCAAGGTTCAAGGTGTCACACCTTTTCAAGTGATGTGATTGGCTACTTTAGGGTGGGACACGTGCCGCGACACGCCACACGAGACGAGACAGCGGATGGCGATGACGCCGTCGAGTGCACTGCCCATGATCGACCGGCTTGGTGGCGCCGAGGTTGGCGGGTGCGAACTATGTAATGCTCTTCTCTCTTCGGTGGTTGTCCAAGAACCACACAAATGTTCTTCTAAACCAAGTCGAATGCTCTTGTGGAAGACTACGAACGAACTTTGCGATTTCGAAACGTGAGGTGGACTGTCTTTTCTGATGGTCCACGATCGCTCTCAGTCCGATGACACGCAGTTCTTGTTCCGACGGCGTCGTTGGTGATCCTACGTATACCCGCCATCGTGGCGGCGTCCCTGCACGGTCGTAAGTCAGTAAATTGCTTGGATGCATAAACCATCCTCAGTCTTAAAGCTTGTAGCATTTTTACTAGACAAAGATGGCACACATTGGACGCACTTCAACAACAAAGATGACACACGAGGGGGCATGGATCGGTCGCACCAGCCCATTCACTAGTAAGCTTATGTACAGAACACGCCGATGTTTCACAGCGGTCTTTCGCCACGGTACAGTAGTGACGCTAACACTGCAAACCAACAGAGTCAACGAGATCTTATTGTGCCAATGTACCTAGCTACTATTACACGAGATGGCGTCATCGCGCGCTCGGTAACCATCCCAAGATGCGTTGATCGCAGGGCGCGATGAATATAACGTGATTCTTCCAGATCACGTCCAAGGTCAGATCGCCCAATGCAAGGCTATAGCCTTGAATTGGTAACTCTGAACGAGGGTACGATGCGAGCGCCAGTCGCACCGTCCACGACCACTGCCCGTATCTCCATAACCTTAGTCCTCGGTCTGCACTTTGTAGGATGCTATTACATTGCTAGACGTCGCTGAACTCTATGTTAGTACTATGTGTGCATTGACGCATTCGAGCATCAACGACTGCTTTGTTTCGAAGTTACTTCAGTTTTTAAACTTATATATGCACACCAATATTGTATCACCCTAGACCGTGGTCGCGTTCGAGAGCACTTGATAGTCGCAGTACGACTCGCACGCCTCTAAGTGCAGGTCCGGGTCCTGCGCATACGTCGTGCTGTACTCGGTTCGGAACATGGCCTCGGGGTCCTGGATGCCGGGGACGTGGTTCCCAAAGATCTTTTCGTTGCACTGCAGCGGAAACATTCGGCTTCGATCGAGCTTCTCAAGCGCCGTCTCGACGCTGATCTTGTCGCGCCACGCGCGGCGCCACATGCACAAGTCCAAGTACGGTGTGCCGTGGTCCCACTTGGAGGTTTTGACAAGCGGTGTCTAAAAACACACCATATTGCGTCTGGAAACTGCCACGTCATGAGATTGCACTTACGTTGGGGGCGTACACGAGACCTGCCAGCGGGTGGTGCGACGCAACGCAGGCGCCGTGAATATCGCGCTTGAAGACATAGAAGCCCCGCGCCCACATGGCGTCCTGCACCTTGGCCCACTCCGTTTCGGACGGCAAAACAATGTCAATGTCTCGCGTGTGCGGAATGATGGCTTCATCGCGCCATGCCCCTATGCGCCGCGTCAACATCCTACTGAACAAAAGGGAGATAAAGGCTGTACCGAGTAGCGTGCCAAAGTAGACAAACGCCGGCAGGCCGAGGTCGTACGTGACCTCGAGCATGTTTTCTAGCAGCAGCTGCAGCACGGCCGACCGGCACGGTTTGCCCGGTGGTGTCTCGAAGAGCGTCGATTTGACGCCGCGCCGCGCGCCACACTGCTGCGGCTTCATCGGTAGGCAAAACTCCCACGCTTCGCCGGCTCGTAGCTTGGCCGTGTCATTGAACGGCGCGAGGTGCGGGGTGTGGACGACGTCCAGAACAAGCGGGATCGGGTCCTTCAAGAACGTTGCGAGCCGTGTGTCGAACACTGCGTCGACGCGCAGTGGGCACCGAGCGACGTTGGGCGTCACGTTACGGGCGGCGCGTGGTGCGCCGTTTTCGCAAAGTGCTTGGCAGCTTGGGTTGGGGTAAATGGCGGCTTCACCGTCGTGGTCACGCATGCCGCGGGCTGCGGTGAAGAACGTCGGCGGGTGCGCTGGCGCGAGGATTGACACATTGTACAGTCGCAAGCACGTGGGCGGCGTGAGCTGCGCGTACCGGTAGGCATGCTCGTGCTGCGGCGAAATGCGAAACTTGTCGTCTTTGGCCATCGGGTCGATCCGCGACCAGCGCAGGTGGGGCGGCACCTCATACGATGCTACGTTGCCAGCATAGAGGCGACTCGCGAGCGGGTGGTGGGCGGCAAGGCACGTAATATCGCCCGCGTTCTTGTCGTAAAAATGGGCCAGACCGCGGGCCCAGAGCCAGTCGGCCACGTCGTCGGTTGCGTTTGTGAGTATCTAGTCAGGTTACATGATCCAGGAACGGCAGTCTAAGGACGATCTTTGTACGTCGAGGACGGGCGTCGCCGGCGGGAGTGCGCCATGTTCCCACATGTGTTCCAGCGCGGCCCCGATCGGCAGGGCCACGTGCCCGCGGGCTTCCATCGCCTAAGACACAAGAGAGACGTGAGCCAAGCAAGCGCTTTTTGATGGTGTGGCGTACCGCCATCGTCGACACGAGCAAGTGGTGCAAGACCGCCGACCGACACGGCGGGTGCTGCGTGAACAGCGAGTCTTGGTCGCCGGCGGCCACGCCGCAAATGACCGAGCGCACCGGGAGACAGTCGCGCCACGACCGCTTCGTAGCGATGGTTGGCCGCGCGCTATGCAAGAAATGCGTGTGAACGGTTATGTCGGCGACCCGAGATTCCGTACCGCTGCAGCTTGGCCAGCCCTGGTGGCGGCATGACGGGGTGCGCGGCCATCGCCTCGTACTGCTCGGCAAAGGCGTAGCTTTGGTAGCTGCAATTTTCGTGGTAGAGCGACGTCGTGGCTTTGATAGGAGTCGCGTGAAGCGTAGTTGCACTAGAATTGGAGGTCGCCACTGTAATCACCTGTCTGACAACCAACCTCCTGACGACATGCGCGGATCGGCGCTGGAGGAGAAGCACAAGCGTCACCGCGATCGTGTAGAGGCAGGCAAACATGACGGCGAGCCGCAGTGTGCCAGGCGTAAACGCAGGCCACGACGCCTTCATGGAGCAGAATAGCGAATGATCATTGGTGGGTTAGGACTCTTTGTGTACGGCCCCCCACATGATAGAGGCAGCTTACGTATAGCGTAAGCTTGCAGTTTGTATCATGTGGTTTGGGGAGGACCCTATTCCGAATCGCGATGCGAGAAAGACGGCTGAT